TCAAGTTTTACTCAAAATATTATTCATAAATGTATAACCACATTCATGGTTAACAAAAGGGAGACGAAGTATACGAGCAGGTGAAGATGGTGTTGATAGATGTTACTACTGAGGTAAATGCAGCCCAACATGCACCTAAATATCTTACCAAAAATGTATTTGCAGCCTCTAATGATTTTAGAGTTAGCTGATGGTCAAGTTAAAATTCAAGTTAATGAACACGAACAACATCTGTCCACTTGTTTGTTACACAGCCTAACTGCTTCATTTTAGTGTCTAATAATCAGTTTCTTGTCCCTCTACAATCTTCCTTGTGGCTCTTGTAAATGCCATCTTAGCTGAGCTTTACACCTCCTTTTCCCACAAAACTAATCGCAAACAGCGTGACCTCAGTAAATCCAGCAGAAACATAATCAACCTCTGTTAACATGTCTCCTCCTATTATTTACACAATCCTCCCCTTTATGCATCTAAAATGACATGAATAAGGGATTCTTCTGTCCTGTCAGCTCAGACAAAGCTGCTGTCGCTGCACTCATGGACAAGTGCAGGAACAAATATAAATTAAACGTACAGCACCATCTCTCTGTGAATCGATCACATCCATGATAATGTCCTCTGACTTCTTCTGCCTTGTTTAAGAAGAATTAATGTGACAACAAACCTTCCAGTCACACTTTGCAACAGTCCTTGACAATGTCCACAATGTTAACAACATGAACACGTCTGCAAAAATTCTGCCCTGAAACACTTCTGTTGCTCCATTTATGTCTCAGGAGTGTCATTTATGAGTGTGCTGAGGGTGTGTGGCAGCCGGATACAGGCCAGTGTCACATCCAGGTCTTATTTAGATCAAGTGTAGTTGAATGTTTATGACAAAGGCCTCGACAACTATTTCCCCAATGACACTACGCTTTCAAAGCCAATACTGATTTTGATATTTGTGAGTTCAAAATCCAATATTGAAATATCTGATGATAATCTTGTTTTAATAAACATATGGAGACACTGTCTACATCAGTGGAGCTGAGGTGGAGCAGGTGAACAGTTTCAGGTTCCTGGGAATCAGCATCACAGAGAACTTGACATGGTCATCTTACATCTCCACACTGGTGAATAAAGCTCAGAAACGAAGGTTAAATACTTGTCAGTTTTTACAGAGGAGCAATAGAAAGCATCCTTACTGGAAACGTCACTAACTGGCATGGGATGTGCACGGCCCAGGACCGGAGGGCTCTGCAGCGGGAGATTAAAACTGCTTAGAAGATCATTGGTACCCATCTCAAGAGCATCAGTGATATCGGTGAGGTGAGGTGTCTACACAGAGCCCAAAGGATACTAAAGGACAGTACCCACCCAGCCACACCACCAGACTGCAGAGCAGCTTTTCCCACAGACTGTGAGACTCCAAAACTCATCCTCAGCTCTGCACCAAGTAAAATAGTTTTCATTTCTGTATTTAATCTTGGAATTTTGGTATATATCATTTGCTTGGTACCATAAAGGGTACTACAAACTACATCAATAAATTTACCTTGTAACATAAAAAACTATTTTGATAAGGATCCCTAAAATGTGTGTATTTAAAGAATTGTGGCTCAGATGTGTACTAAGCGAGACATTTTACTATGGAGCAACTGTTTAAAAAAAAACTTATTTTTGGCATTTTTGTATTGTAATTTGTTTTTACCAACTAGAGCCAGACCAATATCGGGTTTTGGGGGCCGATGCAAATGCCGATATTAAAGTGAAAAAGAGACGATATTCTGATTTGAAAATGATTTGAATAGTAGACCCCTTTCCTGTCCAACCTACACTTAGAACAAGCCAATATTGAAAGCTGTTCTCTGTGTGGGCTATAATACCTTTTTCCGAAATTGATTATATTAATAAAATACATTACAGTCTCAACAACTTAACTTGTTAACAATTGCACATCAATAAATATTTGCTGCAGGAAGGTGCAACTGTAAACGGTACGGTGTAAATGGCTGAAAGAGAATAAGCATAGGCTATGTGTATTTTACCTTACACATAATCTGCCCTAATAACTACATTCAATGTAGCATATTCACATCTAGTTTATCCCTGTACCAACACTCTTTAATAATATCCAAAGCTACGAGAAACCAATTCTCAACCACTAGCTGGCTCTAAATCGTGCCGTTTATGATACAGATGCCTGCTGTTGAATGCATCTAATACTACATGACTGTTTACAACGAGCACTTGCAAGTCTGAGATTTCATTTAACTAATGTTATAACAATAACCAGAGCCATTACGACTCTGACTACAACCTTTTACATCTACGACGTCACACAAAGAGGAGCTACAGGAAGCCATGTTAGATTCTTGTTCAGCTCACGTTTATTTACATGTCCGCTCTGGTTTAATTATTTCAGACACGCCAACTGTAACTGCAGACAGGCGCCTAGCAGATATATTTAGAATCCGTCAGAAACTATAATTTAACAGCTCATTAACGTTAGCGCTCCTCCACGGCATTAGCTTTGTGGCTAATTTAGGAACGTGCAACGTTAGCTGCTATATGTGATTTTAGAAAATATTTAGAAGTGATGAACTAGGGACAAATTCAATAGAACTGCCACACTGTTTCAGAAATAAATCTACAATGAAGTCTGTCAGCAGCGAAGCCTCCAACACCCAACCAGTGAAAAATGGGAGGGTTAGCAAGTCATGAATGTTTTCAGGAGAGGAGAAGTGATTGAATCTGTTTTTATTATAATAATTTAAGTCATGTCATTAACGTGACAAAGGACTGACTCACCACTAACACAGCCCTCTCCGTGTTTCTACATGCTGCTATAGGCTGGTGGACTTCGGTCAGCTGATTGTTTTCTTTTGTGGTTTTTCTGGTGCGGTAGTGTTATTAACAGAGGAGCTACAGAGCTCCCTCTGGTGGGCAAACTATACAACACTCATGACATGAGTGAAGTGATGTCAGATTTATGTCAGATTATGATATGATTTTAGGAGCTTTAAATCCAGTAGTATAAGATGAATTTAAAGTAAAATTCCATCTCTAGTCTTACACAACAGTCACTGACAGTATGTTCATCAGTTAGGTCAGCTAAACGCACTGTCAGTAAATCATTTAGGATTACTGGCATCCTCCAGCTCACCAACTGATTCATTAGTCACAAAAGTACAAACAAAATGTCAGAAGAATAACCTCTGAGTCTGCTCCTGCAGAAGCCACCAACTCGTCCCAGTTACAGTACAGTTTGTTCTCTGCTGCAGTAATGATCCCAAAGCCTCTCACCCGACAGACCAAACTGGACTGAGGAACCTGTGAATGTAGGCTCATCTGTCCTGCTAATTGTTGTCCTGCTAAATGTCATATTTATGTCAGATTGTTGCTGTGAAACTGAAGTTTCCTTCCATCCTGTACTGAAAACAAATTACTTCAACCTCAGCCATGTGGTCAATAAAGTGACTGATCCATTCCCCTGATGATTGGTTGAGAAGGCAGCCCACGTTTCACCCAATTACCTGCAGCCTCAGCACATTTCAGGGTCAATATGCATGACAAATGGTTTAACACCTAAATTGGGGTAAAGATATAACTATGTATGAACAAAAGTATGTGGACCCCCTGCACCTCTTTGTCTGGGTCTGTTTCCCCTGGTTTCGGCTCTTGTTTTCAATGAAAAAAAAACACACAGTGTTCACAGTGTTCAGTTTGTGTTTGTCTCCTTAAAGAAATGTTTTTCCCAGTTTGCTGTGGAAGAACTTGACTGGTCTGCACCGAGCTCTGACGTCAACCACATCCAACACTTTTGGGATCAACTGTGACATCGACTGAACGAGACCTCATCACCTCACTAATGCTCTTGTGTCTGAATCTGAGCAAATCCCTGCAGCGAGTTTCTAACATCTGCTGGACAGACTGAAACCAGGAGCAGCACATTATGACCATATATGTTAAAGTAATATTACATACATGTGTTTTCATATAAAAACAGTAATTCATTAAAAAAAATAAAAATAAAACAAGGTACAGTACTAGTAATCAGCAATACTGCAAAATATTGCAATGAAATGTCCAACTCCCCGACTATACCTGCCTATATAAAACTATATAAAGACCTGTGTCAGTCAGAATAGCCATAAATCTATCTATTTGAAATTTATTCAACTGTTTTTTTTTTTAAATAATCCTATTTTCTGATAAATGATGATAAATCTCTCCACTGAATTGCCACTCCGCATTAGTTCTGGGTTATGGAAGAGTTATCTATATTTTCACTTGTGTAGTTTTGGAATAGAGCTTATTCCTAGTAAAGATTATTCTTGAGAGAAGACAATTTGGCTGTTAGAACACATGTTCCCTAGAAGAAGGCTAAAAGGAAATACTGTTTAATTCACCCTCAGCACACATTCCCTAAACCTCTCCCAACTCTCACATAGGTGGAATGTTTGGGTGTCTGCTTACTTTTGGCCATGAGGTGTATATATATATTGAATTGTAGGGTTTCTGAAAGCAGCTGAAACTGAGCCTCTCCACTTATCGGGAGCTCCTGCTGATGGCAGTTTCAACTAGATGATGGTTAATGTCGTAGCGACATCCAGTGGCCAAAACTGTAAACTGCAGCCAAAGAGTCAAAAAGCTCTGATATTATGAATACTGTTTTAGATTACGTAGGTAGAATTTATTTTTTTTTGGTCATGTTAAATTGTATGTTCTTTCAAACTCATCAGTGATGAAGGAATTTTGTAGCTGAGACTTGAGGCATTTCTGTATAATGAATATTCTTTTTTTAATTAAAGACTAGTGTGTCTTTCTTTTTTTGTCTCCTAAAAGTTTATGATATTTTATATGTATTTTCTTTGATCTTTTTTTTGCTCAAACTGGGTGGAGCTATGGTGAAAATGTGCTGTGGTCCATCTGGGCACGTTAAAAAGAGCAATCAAATTAAATTTAAAAGACAAAAACATGGTCCTCATCTTAAAAGCATGAAAATGGAGAGCACTAACTTCTCCTTTGCCTTCCTCTTCTCCTCCAGGTGGTGGTGAGCCTCTAGACGAGATTCTGGGGTGAAAGAACACGGCGTGTGCCAGAACTCTCTCTCCCGCCGCTCATCATCTAAGTCAGGGCTCATTGTGTTCGGCTTCTCCTCCCCCTCCTGGTTCTCCTTATTCTCCCCCAACCCTGGACTTGGAGACAGAACAGATGCAGTGACTTCAGGTTCAGGTCAAGTTTAGCAGTTCAGCAGAGACTCATCCTTTTTGGGACGGTTGAATAAAAGTAGCAGTGGAAGCTGACAAACTGCCTCCTTCAGTTCTGTACTTCAGTCCAGTAAAGAGGTTCTGTTTCTTTACTTGAATAATTTAACTCAAGTACATTTTATGAATGCTGTCCAAAATTTGTGTGAAAGTGCTTTATGATCTGTACAACATAGGACACCACTTTGTATGGTTTTACTGCTTCACACTATTTTACAATCAACAGTAGGTAATTATGGCTGCTGCCTGGTATATTTTCATAATATTTTACTTTTGGAAAAACATAAACAGCTGTCTTTCTACTCAATGACACAAGAAACTTTGACTTTGCATGGTTTGGGAGAGTTTACTTTAACTGTACAAGACCTTATCTTGTATGTGTGACAAGAAGTGGTCATGTTTGTCCTCACACTGTGTTGTTGATGTCAGTGTACCAGCGGCCATCAAAGCCTGGTTTCCTCTCCTCATTTCCTTTCTGCTCTCCTGCTTCCTTCCTTTGTGCCTCCTCTTTCTCCATGGCTCTCCTCTTCAGGTATTCCTTCTCCTGCTCCCAGACTTGCCTCTTTACCTCCTCCAGTCTCTGACAGGCTCGAATCCTCTCCGACCGACTGATCTCCGTCCCGTCGAGCCGCTGAGGACAGAGACAGACAGCCAGGACAGAATCTCACTGTAAACAGACTTACAGCTTTCAGGTAAGTTTTTTGCTTTAATTACAGCTTTGTCTTATTTAAATTTCTTGTCAATGGGCGGCTGTGGCTCAGGAGGTAGAGCGGGTTGGCCGTTAATCGGAAGGTCGGCGGTTCAATCCCTGGCTCCCCCTGGTTGCATGTCGAAGTGTCCTTGGGCAAGATACTGAACCCCGAATTGCCCCTGGCGGCTATTCCGTGAGTGTGAATGTTAGTTTCCGTTTGAGCACTTAGGCTCAGTGTATGAATGTGTGTGAATGGTGAATGCAGATGTAGTGTAAAAGCGCTTTGAGTGGTCGAAAAGACTAGAAAGGCGCTATACAAGTACGGAGCATTTACATCAATTAACTTTTTGATTTCATGTCAAAAAACAAAATTATTCAGGTTATAATAAACCAAATGGCCCAGCAATTTTTTTAATAATCTTTTCCCCAGGGTCTTGTGCCTCATTTTCTTCGTCATGTTGGTTAAACAAGACGTCCTTGTATCTGTAGATTCATTTTCAGACCTTCTGCCTTGTGATTTTCAGCCTGCAGAAACAACATCTCTCAGAGAGTGCTAAATCTGTCTGGCATCATTGTTAAAGATTTAATTCAGCTTGTGGTTTTCCTTCATTTAGAGAGTGTTATGGTGCTGGGAGTGCATCTTAAACATTGTGCGCTGCTGAGAATTACACACAGTCAGTTAAGTTAAACTGAGCATATGAAGGTGAAAAACAATATTTATAGCATTTTTGAATTTGAAAAAGTGTTTTAAATAATGACGTTGACTCTACCATCCTAAACTCCAGGTACTTGGAGCCTCACTCCCTTGAGGAAGCGCCAGGGCTCAGGGGAAGGCAGGTAAAGTTACCTTGAGTTGAGGCAGAGAGGCCACCACATACTGCCTGTAGCCCTCAAACTCAGTGCAGGGGTTCCCCACCAGAAACAGCTCTGTGAGGTGGACGTTGTGTTTCAGAGACTCCACGCTGCTCACACGGCCCACAAAATTCACAGTCAGATCCAACTTCTGGAGGCTCTCACAGCCTGAAGACAGAAGCAAACACACAATGTTCATATGTTCTTATGTTTAAGGGCAAAACTGTAATGTACACAAACTATGAAAACCTGTGCGTTTATTGACTCAATGGTGACATTAACTAGATTTAAAAGGTTTCAATTTAATACAGCTTAAAAGCTCAAGCACAAGATTTGTTCAGTGCAGTTTTTTTAAACTAGCAATGTTCATCATCAAGCATTAATCAAATACACAAAAACACAACTGTCTTGTGTTCCGCACACTGACCTTCAAGATTTTCAATGACTTCAATGTTGTTTAAGGCCAGATTCAAATACTCCAGCTTCTTCAGGCGACTGAGATTCTCTATGATTGCAGGATATTAAATGAATTACAAATCAAAAACATGTCAGGGGAAACTGTCTGTGAAGCATTTTTCATTAGATGTCTTTGTTATATTTAACGGTTTGGTCAACATCATTTAAATGCCACATATTTCAAAATGTGGTTAAGACCAGCATTACATTAACATATGTTATTTAAATGTGATTAACACAACAGTTACATGTAACCTAGACATCTAAAAACTCTCTTTTAACCAAAGTTAGCACAATTTAAACAAGATGTCTAGAAATTATCAGTGTTTACTGAGTAACTGAAGTCTCACCTATCCTGGGGATGAGGTTGTTCTGCAGGTAGAGGATCCTCAGGTCCCTGCACCACCTGTCAAGGTGTTCGATCCTCTCGATGTCCTGCTGATGCAGAGAAACTTCCTCCAAGGAGAAGATCTCACACTCGTTGTGCTCGGCCCGTCGGCGGATCATGTCCTCTGTGACTAGATGGACATCACACACAAGGGTCAAACATGTGTGTTCAAGATAGACAGTGATAGATGGACCTCTTCTTCTTTCTTCTCTTCTTTTTAAGTTTTCCTTTCTCTCCCTGTGAACATGGCAAAAGAGGAGGGAAGACTAAATCATGCCTATATGTATGTTGACTCAGCAGGGATGATATTACATGAGAAAAGCTGATCTACAGGAGAAACAGCTCTGAAAGCAACATAGTGACGATATATGCCTACTGTCTATGAAGATTCTCAGTCATCCAGGTCATAGTTATCCAACCAAGATTAAAGTCAAGGGCAACTGGACTTTCAGTTGCCCTTGACTTTAACCTTCGTTGGATATAGGCCTACTGTTTTCACAACGAGAACGTTTATTTGGCGAATTTGAATGAGCTATAGGCTAGTTGGTGCTGCAGGTAGCAATGCCATAATAACAACACCTTATTCATTCATTCTTGTTAAAGTTACCCGCGGAACTGTTTACGAACCAATCAATGTCAAGTACAGGGAGACGAAGCACACATAGATGACGACGACAGGGCGCGGGTCTGTCATGCGAAGTTCTTTACTGCGGTCGCAAAAGTTAAATGCAGTGTGAAACCAAACCAAAACTAACCGAATGTATCAAAATGTATCGAAACATCAACTTTAGTTCGGACCTTGGTGCGGACTTTCAGGTGAAAAGCCCCCTAAAACACTGTTCAAGGATCTTTTCGTCTCGTTCTTGTGAACCTAATATTGGTATGGTGATGTCTCGTGAACTAAGTGTCTCTTACACCCCTAACGTTACCACTTTTCAACACAATGTGACGCCCTTGAAGACAATTAACTTTCAAACTAGTTTATTAATGATTAATTAAAGGAGACCGGGGCGATGGTGCTCTGGGCGATGATAATGATTGAAACATTTTTTTCCCGCCGTTTTAACTCCGAAACCCGCCGATGTTGTTGCTCCGAGTCTAAGCGGGCGCCATCTTGATTATTGTGCAATACCTGCAAGCTGCCTGCCTGCTGCCGTCTTTTCTGCAGAGGAAACATGCCGCTTGAGAACATACGGTGTTTTTTGCCATTTTGTGGCCGATCCGTTGGAGATATAGACATGCAGGGTATCAAATGAAAGGTCTGCTCAAGCTGGATCGATTGGTACCCCATCACTGTGGGATGTTCCGTTCTCAGTCTACAGGCCTGTAAAGCATGGGAGTGCTTTTGGTGACAGGAATGTTGATGAATACTCCTGTTTTTATCAATATTTCAATGTTTTGTCATTTGGAAATAGGTTGTATGGACTAAAAAAGTGTTTTAAAGATATCTATCAATAAAAGTCAGCATTTTAACAATAAATATTGCCATAATATGGAAATTCGCCTGGTACATTTGAAAATGTTGTATGATAACTGTTGTATTTTAGTTTATTTTCATCAGATTTACAGTTACAATTGCATTCTAGGTGTATTGGAAGATATTCAGTTGCATTAAAAGCTAACTCAGGATGGTTTTGATGGTTTATTGCATCAAAATATAGCTTTTTTTTAACCAGGCGAGGTTAAAAATTTCAGATTTTTTCTTTATTTCATCTCCATGTAGTCTGTAAAAGTAAAATAAATATATTAATACACAATGGATTCATATTCCTTAGCTTCTGATTTTTCAAAGGAGACCAGAATTATGCATCTAGGCCAAATGGTTGAGGAGTTATTCCTGATTCATTTTGGGTATGTCATTTTAGGCGTTTCTTCTGGAAAAAGGGGCCTGTTTTCATCAGGTTAACTTAGTGGACAAGTAAACGGTACCAGCAATATTTGGTAACTTAGCTTATTAACGTTAACATACTAAGTTAGCTAAGTCTTACGGTAGCAGTGGGTAACTAACGTTACTCTATAGTAGCAGTAAAAGCTAATTTACTAATAATAATAGTACAACTAACAACATTACGTTAACTAACAAATATGATTGACGGCGATATATATAGCGTTATCTAGCTAGCGCATCGCTGTTAACTGTGATCATGAAGCTAACGTTAGCTAAAATCGCCCACCTGTTATTAACTGGTTCACTATAACCTTAACTAAGTTAGTCACCGTTACTAAGCTGTCGCGCTAAAAACAGAAAGTAAAACGCATTGTCATTAATAACAGTACACACTGTAAACAGTAATAATGCAGAGACATGTTTTAGGGGTAGATTGGGGGTTATTGCTTATCTTTTCTTAACTTACTGTAAACCATCTTCCTCTCTGTTGTCAGGCGTTGCCGTAGAAACCGGCCAGGTGCTGCGTTCGAGCTCTGTGGGAAATAGTACAACCACATATTTGAATATAAATTAAGAGGATGAGGTAAATAGTCTGCCACCACGTATAACTGATTTAATACTACAACTTATAGACTGACACTGGTATGTTTAGAGCCAAATTATTCGAATTTCTTTTAGTCAATCAAAAATAAATAAAAGGATTAAGTATTTTCCCAGCACAATTGTAGTCGTGGCAGGGAGGAGAAGGCTTTCAAACGCCACTGGGGCCTTCAAGTTTACAAAATAACTACATTTTATTTTATTATAAATATAAGATACAACATTTTTGGTGTCTGCTTCAAATTTCTGAGAAGGGGTGTGCATTGGGGGTTTTGTTAATATAATGGATCATAATTGTTACTCAGAGACTTTGCTGTCATTGTCAAGGACATCAAAACGGCAAAATGCTGTACAGAACAATAAAAAGTCATAAATCGCAGGTAGTACCTTTATTAAACTAGATTAGACCTACTATATACATACTTTTTGAAAGCATTTGTTAAAACTGTTACTTGCAATGAAAAAAAAGAAAGAAAAGAAAAAAGAAAAGTTTATTTGCACAATAAGAAAACATGCAATGGAATGTAAACAAAGTAGAAACAAATGTGTCTTATCCAAAAACAGTAACTTAAGCTAAAAGAACAAGCTACTGATTAATGCATTATATTTTTATATTTTAAATTTGTCACCTGCCAGACGAATTTTGTTTCCTTTTATATAAATAAATACATTTCCATCATAAACTGGTGCAGAATATTTCTCTAGAAGACAGGAAATTAAGTGTTTAATGCTTAAAAAGATGAGATATTACAGCATTGAATATTACTTCAAAATAGTATTAAAATATTTTTCTTGTCTTGTCGTCAACACAGAATTGTGCATCATCACATCTTGTGAGTCAAGTATATAGTCACACCCCTAATCTGAGCCCTTATGTCCTCACCACTTTTACTTTTTTATGTAGGTACAGATATAGATATGGAGATACAATACAAGGAGATAACTTTAGTTGTGAATTGGCGCTACATAAATCAAATTGAATAAATAGTATTGTTGAGATTATTGGTTGTAATTAATACATTTCCTGAGTGACATTAACGTCCACTGCTCACATTAAGGTTGACATAACGTTACCATGATTGGTAATATTATAATTTCAGTTTCAGTTAAGAGAAGTATTATTTTTTAGCTACTTACACGTTCAGTCGGTCTGCTATTGGCTGCCACTTTTTCACGCCGTTTTAAAACTGCAGCAGTCTTTCTTTATATTTATATTTTATATTACGTGCATTTTTTCATTATAAACCTTTTAATTCGCTGTTACTGTGTGTAAAGTATGCTGCACACGTCTTTTCCATTTCAGCATCAATAATCTGTGATCAACCATGCGGTCTGTTGAAGTGCATTTATCTGAATTACTTACACCTGGCTTGACAGTCGCCCCTACTGAGCCTGGTTTGGCCATCATGAAACCGATAAAGCCAGCATGCACTGATCACACTTGGTTAAGAATAGCTTTTAGTTATTCTGGATTTCTAAATTCTGCTTTTGTGAAACAGCCCTCAGGAAATTCTGCAGGGCTGGAGATGAACTCCATATCCCAGAATGCCCTTCTGCACAGTCCCACCTGATGCTCATCAGAGCTCCAAAATAGTGGACACGGGTGTTGCTGATGGGCTTTCTGCAAGTCTGACACACTTTGAAAAGCTCAAGGATCTTTGACTGGTAGACTACCGCTGTTTTCTCTTCGCAGTCGTCAGCTTCGTCCTCCTCCGATGCGGACAAATTAATGTCAGTCGCCGAGTGGGAACTCGGGAACTGGTCCCGGTCCTCCACTCTGCTCCTCGGCCTACTGTCATCCTGGTCAAATGCGGAGGCCGATTCAACTGCTGGTGCGGGATCAGACTGGAATTGAAAAAACAAACATTAATCCACCTTTTTTGTCATACATTAAATGATCATGGTGTATCACTGTGGTCGTATTGTCACAGTTTCGTCCATCATTTCTAACAATTTGCTCACCAAATTAATAGCTGAGATCTGGGAATTAGAGCTCATCGTGGGGCCAAAATGTTCATGTTATCATGTTATGTAACCAAAATTATTCAGTTTGCAATGATGTAAAAACCAAAATCATTCAGTCATTTCAACACCAGCCTGTTCTGTTTTTCCTGAAGCACCTACAAATGGATGAAAAGTTTAAGGCTATAAGACCAGTCTGTTGGCATCAAGGGCGTCACTTTGTGTTAAAGTGGTGGGTGGGTATATAAGGGCTCAGATTAGGGGCATGATGATACATTTGGGTCATGAGACCTGATGATGCATGAGAAGACAAGAAGATTTTTAACACTATTTAGATTAAATATTTGATTCTGAAACATGTGTGGGGGTCTGACGAAGACTTTGAGCATTAAACTCGTAATTTCCTGCATTCTGGAGACATTTTCTGCACCAATTTACGGTGGAAATGTATTTTTTATATGAGGGGAAACTATGGTATTGCATGTTTTCTTATTGTGCAAAGAAAACCTTTCTCAAAACATTATCATTTGTTAATTGAAAGCTATTTTTTCAGTACATTTTAAACAAATGCTTCGAAAATGTGGTGGGGACATGTCCCCAGCGTCCCCAGTGTACATGACACCTATGGCATTTGTCATAAGTCTGGAAAAAAAAGCCATTTTAAATCTTCCCACTGTAACAACCCTAAATGTTGATTTTAATTAATTAATTAATTAAATTCTGTACAAGTAGACTAGGTGTGTTTAAGGCTAAGAAATATATTAGCAACTCACTTCTGTATCACCGCAGTCTCCACTAGCTGCTCCTGCCTTCTCACCATCCGCACTCCCAAATATCGATGGTTTAACTCTAACGTTACTTTTCAGTCTCCTGAAGGCTGCATCAAAGTCTTCCTCTCTGAAGTGTATACTACAGACCCGGAGATCCTTCAACTTTTGCGGCGGGGTGTCCGGCTTGAACTTCGGGTTCTTTATCAGCCGCAGCCAGTCGGCACGGCGGGCAGCATCCGAAGGGAGGCGATGAAGACCCGGTCTGTTGGTCTCCCTTTTGCCGCTGCTACAGTTTGGTACAATGCAGCGATTCGCCATTCAGGCTCCTGAAGCGATTCACTTGAGTAACACGAGCTCAACACGACAGTCACTCGATTAACACGGGCTCAAACACGTATTTCAATTACCTCGGAAGTGGTCGGGTCCAACGTTTCTCTAACACCAAAATCTGTTACCTATTACATTCTGTGACTACACCCAAACGACGATGTTTTCCTAACCATAACCAAGTACTTTTGGTACCTAAACCCACCAAACTGCAACAGCTTCACACCGTCAACAAAGCCTCTGGCGCTTAACTTGCCGTTTGGGTCACAGAATCTGACAGGTCACACATTTTGGTGACAAACTCCACGTAAAACCTAAAACTCGCAAAAGCAAATGCTGAATACAAACCTAGCGCAGCTCTATCTGTGTGGAGCAGACGTCGAGTCGACACAGTTTAAATAACACCATCTGTCCCTGTTCTTCCAACTAAGCGGCTGCTAAGGACCCCGTAGCCACCAGGGGGCCCCAAACTCATGCATACTTACTGAACATACTAAACGGACTAAGTTAATCGTCTGACTTGTCTGACCCTATGGTCTGACCTGGCCTGGACACCCTGAGTAGTGTTACAATGAATTTATAGTTGTTGATGCTATATGTGCTAATGGAGTGGATCACCACGTTAGTGCCGAAGAATAGCTAGCTAAATGATAGTCCAAATTCCACTTGACGTTACTAATGTCGGTTCTCTGGGACGACTCGTTTACTAACGTTACCGTTTTGCCGACGATTAACTTTACAACATACAGTAATATGAGCTCATAAGCCAACTTAAGGTTATCCCAAAAGGTCCAATGTTCTCTGTGCTAAGAGTATATTAGGCATTGACAATTTGCTTTTGGAACATGAGACTAATTCACAAGACAATGGTGGACATTTAACTTTGCTAGAAATGGATCTACATTACTTAAGATGTAGTTATGATTATTATTATTATTGAGAATTATTGGCAAATGCAGAGCTCACTGAAAATGACAGATGCTGAACTGAACAGTTTTTCTTTTTAGTTGTCACTACAAGTAAAAAAGAAAAACTGTCAGTTTTAAACATCATCTCTTTTAATTGACAAAACAGCAGTTGCAATAGCAAAAAACAATTCTAAAATGTCTAATTCTAAAGTATATAAATATATACCAAAGAAGCTAAATTAAAGTAATTTCATGACAAGTAGGCCTATTTAAGTAACTGTCCTGTATTATGTTTGTGATATTTGTGAAATAATCTCCATTAATGTAGACATTTAATAAACACAAATTTTAAGTGTGTAATTGTAAATGGTCCAACAGAACATTAAGGTGATAGAGATTATTGCTTATATTGTCAAAAATAATCTAGTACCTTTTGTTGTGAGAACAAAGTCAAAAAGACGATACATTTTAGAAAAACAAACAACGGGCACCGTCAAATGTGGAGATTTATAACTATTAAAGGGGAAATAATTGTGTGTCTATTCTGAGGTGTTGCTTTTTATTATTAAACGTGTGACATCACATCTTAACTCCAAATGTGCCTTCAGCATGTTAACACCTGGTTGACCTGTAATTTTCTAATGTTAAACTCAGATAAAACTGAAGTTACTGTACTGGGGCCCAAGCACCTCTGTGACACATTATGTAAAGATATAGTTTCCCTGGATGGCATCGCCCTGGCCTCCAGCACCACTGTGAGGAATCTAGGAGTTATCTTTGATCAGGACATGTCGTTTAAGTCTCACATTAAGCAAATTTCAAGGACCGCCTTTTTTACCTATGTAATATTGAAAAATCAGGAACATCTTGTCTAAAGATGATGCAGAAAAACTAGTTCTAAGCTGGATTACTGCAATTCTTTATTATCAGGCTGCTCGAAAAAGTCCGTTAAGACTCTTCAGCTGATCCAGAATGCTGCAGCACGTGTTCTGACAGGAACCAGGAAAAGAGATCATATTTCTCCTGTCTTAGCTTCTTTGCATTGGCTTCCAGTAAAATCCAGAATAGAATTTAAAATCATTCTTCTTACCTACAAAGCTCTTAATGGTCAGGCACCATCTTATCTTAAAGAGCTCATAGTTCCTTACTACCCCACCAGAGCACTGCGCTCCCAGAATGCAGGGTTACTTGTGGTTCCTAGAGTCTCCAAAAGTAGACTAGGAGCCAGAGCGTTCAGCTATCAAGCTCCTCTCCTGTGGAACCAGGTTCCAGTTTGGGTTCAGGAGGCAGACACCATCTCCACATTTAAGAGTAGGCTTAAGACTTTCCTCTTTGATAAAGCTTATAGTTAGGGCTGGCTCAGGTGAGTCCGGAACCATCCCTTAGTTATACTGCTATAGGCCTAGACTGCCAGGGGACTTCCCATGATGCACTGAGGTCCTCTCTCCTCTACTTTCTCTCCCTCTGTATGCAACCTCATCCCATTATTGCATGTTACTAACTCAACTTCTCCCCTTTCCGGTAGTCTTGTGCTTCCTCGTCCCTCTCCTCTCTCCTCCTATCACTTCCTGCAGGAGTTTCTGGCTCTGGAGCTGTGGAGTCTGGATCTGTGGTTGCGAGTCACCTGCTGCCCCCGTGTTCCTGCTCGACACCCTCTGCTACAACTATTGTTACTAGTCCTATTGTTATTATAATCATTAACAATACGATTATCATCATTAACACTACTATAAATATCGGTACCATTATTTATTCTGTCTGTACCAACATCACATTTACTGTCTGTACTTCTGTGTGTATATTGTGTAGGTTGCCTCTTTGTTGGGTTTCTGTAAATAATATCGCAGAGTACGGTAAAGACCTGCTCTTATATGATAAAGTGCTATGATATAACTGTTGTTGTGATTTGTCACTATATAAATAAAATTTAATTGAATCGAATCAAAGCTAGAGTTTACAACGTACACTCTAAGGCAGCACCACGTGATCCAATCTTATCTTTTATTTTGAAAGTGGAGTTACGGAAGTTCGTAGACGACACGCGGAGGGGCAGACAACCGACCAACAACAAACAACAACGTTAACCGCAGCAGCATCTCCCCGTTTCTGCTCACGGGTCACTCGCTGCTCGCTTCTAAGGACGAGGTCACCGAGAGGAGCTCACCGGACGTGAACGTCTTTGCCATAGATCTTTGCTTATGTTATTATTTAAATTCAGGTTTCGGCGTTTGTTGTCGTTTCACGTCCGCCCAACATGACGAGTTACAAGGCGTTTCATTCCCAGTTGACGTCCATCATGGAGGCACTGGCCAAAGCGGCGGTGGCGGAGATCTGCGAGCTGGTGGATGACAGCTATGCCGTGTTGCAGCTGGAGATCACCCGCAGCCACAAGGAGAACGAGGCGCTGAGGAGGAAGCTGGAGCTGATCGAGACCATCATCGCGCGGGGACACCGGGGGAACGCCGCGGTGTTGGATTTCGGCGGGCAAGAGGCGGCCGGTGGGGGGCTGATGATGGATTTCACTCTCGGTGAGTTTCGGGGCCTTTTCTTAACAGTCTGTCATTTGCAGTTGGATAACACCGACGATGGTGGCAAGATGTTTACTGCCATGACTGGACTAATGTCTCCGATATCTGCCGTTGTTCCGTATATAGAAAGCTTTACAGCAAACCCCACTGGAAAACTGTTAATACAACATTTCCTTACTAACTGGCAGCAGTGAATTTGTTGATACTCATCTGATATGTTTGTCTCAGTATCATTTCTATATTCGGCATAAACTTCAAACTGCAAGCAGGGTCAACTTTTCCAGTCCTTTGGGCTGTTTTCTGACGCTGGAATCTGGATACAAAGAAGGCAGGTCAGCAGTCAGAGTTCATGGCTCAGAGAGGGGTTCAACAAAACGTGCCATTTTAAGTAAACAATGTTCCATATATTCAGAAATATATGCTACAATATTCAGAAAAGGCATTGAGATAACTCAGAACATGTAAGATGACAGAGAAGTACAACAACTTTACAATTGAAAGTTTACTGAAACAAATTCCTGGCATTTCTCACTTTTTAAGAACAAGTTATACTGTCATAACATGGCAAACCCCCCTCTGTATTTACTACTGTATACACAGCAATAAAGTGAAACATGGGATCACAGCAGGCAGCCTTACACCCCCCCCCACTTGAATGTATCAATACCCTTGGTGATCTCCTTCGGAACCAATATTATAACTCTTGTTTTTCAACCAGAACGTAACGTACCAACTGGAGTGGGGGCCAAACAGCCAAAAGCAAATCTCAAAAGAAGTGGAAGGTTTCCAATGTTGGAGGCCACAACTGAGCTGACCCCTGCAGCCAAAGAGGTGAAAGGACATGGACAAAGTTAAAAATGTCTTGTTCAACTTCTTGTAATGTAGCCTTTAAGATCTGGAAAGACGACTACTGCCCCCATTCATCATGAGCTGAACTCAAAGATCTAAGACTATGTACACAAAAGGCCTATTTCTCTCAAATACTGTTCACAAATCTGTCAAAATCTGTGTTAGTGAGCACTTCTCCTTTGCCGAGATAATCCATCTACCTCACAGGTGTGTCATATCAAGATGCTGATCAGACAGCATGGGGATTGCACAGGTGTGCCTTAGGCTGGCCACAATAAAAGGCCTTAGGCTGGCCACCATAAGACGGCCTTTGGATACGGCTTATAGTTAATCAATATTTGAGAGAAATAGGCCTTTTGTGTACATAGAGAAAGTCTTTGATGTTTGAGTTCAGTTCATGATGAATGGGGGCAAAAACAAAAGTGTTGCATTTATAATTTTGTTCAGTGTAATATGACAAGTCATACTCTCAGTAACATACAGTATACCTACCAGCTGTAGTTAGGACATTTATCAGTTTGACCTTGTGTGTTTTAAAACATGAGTTTTGCCATTTTAGTTTATGCATTGTATTTTTTCCTCTAAGTTTGTCTAAATGCGTCACATCTGCTGCCTTCAGTAATTATATCTTTTTTGAATGTCATACAACAAGTGACATTTTGGTTGAAAATAAATAGTTAATTGTACTGAACAAAGTTAATGGAATAAAGCCTATTACAGTCATTTGTGTGAACATTGTTTTCCACTCTCAGGATTCTTCGTCAGTAGCTGTAGACGAGCCAAATGATCAGGATGTTGTTCTCATAAAGGAGGAAACCGCGAAAGAGGAGGTGACCGGCTATGACGCCACAGACGAGCTCCTTCTCAACGAGGATGGTAAGAGAGGAAACCCATTGACTCTAATAAACAGTTAACAATCCACAAACTAGGGATGCACCGAATGTTCGGCCACCGAAATTAATCGTCCAAAAATAGCTAGTCGTACCTAAATTTGGAGTGCACACGTATTAAAGCCTTTACAGTAAATCCACTGAAACGGACCAGAGTGAGCTGACGGCAGGTTAGCGACTTTATCCTGTCAGTTTCTGTCTTTACAAAGACAAGTCTTGCAGTATGAGAGGCCTAACTGAGGAGAGAGCTGTGAAGTCTTCATGTTACGTGACATGAGAACCACATACATTATTTATCAAATCAGAATCAGAAGGAGCTTTATTGCCAAGTAGTGTTTTACACATACAAGGAATTTGCTGTGGTGATAAGGTGCTACACGTAGACAAACATACAGTCAACATAAATAAATGTAGAAATATATAAATATGGAATATGAAATTGGGTCGGACTTCATGAATTTAGCGCGAGGATACATATGTGACAATGCCCCTCTTTTCAAAATGAGATGTGTATACAGGATGGATGTTTATACGCTAATGACTGTTGGTCAGACAAAATGAGGCATCACCCAAACATAGATGGACGGATAAACGGGAGGAGGGTGACCCAGGAAGAGAATCAACAGGTCCCGATAAAGACATAACGGGTCTCGTTTAGAGCTGCAACAATTAGTCAATTAATCGATTAGTTGTCAACAATTGGCGACTATTTTGGTAATCCATTAATCATTTTTAGCCATTTTTTCCAGCTTCTCAAATGGGAATATTTCCTGATTTTGTTGCTCCTCTATTACAGTAAACTGAAGTTCTTTGGGTTGTGAACAAAACCGGACATTTGAGGACGTCGTCTTGTTCTCATCAACATTTTTCACCATTCTCTGACATTATTTTATGGCCTAGAACAGAGAAAATGGTCGGCAGATTTTTCGATAAAGAAAATCAGTAGTTGCAGCTTTACTAATTATTTACAACATCAACTTGCTGAAGTCCGGTCAAATGCACCAACATGTGTGCACCAGGTGTAGCATTTACCTTGTAGCACTGTGCTCATCAAACTGCAGTTTGCTGGTGGTGACAAGAGGAGAAACAGCAGTTTGACTGTCACAAAGCTGTGTTTGAAGACAGAAGATTAGCCATAAAAGCAAAAGTAGACAATGTTTCTACAAGGAAACACAGGCCGTCATGACCAGCGGTCTAAAATGGCACTTTTGTGAACAGGCCTTTTCACACTGCTGACTTTACTGTTTCTTCTGTTGAGATTAGACAGTAAAATACAATGTTTATCACTGGAAGTTGTTTTTAGCACTTCTATTTATGTGTTTGTCTGTCAATCTATAATAAAGGACGGACATGTTGACAACAAACACTCGAGACAGGCTGCAGTTGCCATTGTTTCTTTTTTAGTGCATACGTTTTATTTAAAAATAGACATTTTGACAGTAGTTTTTGTCACACTAGTCTTTGTCTTGAAGTCACTGCTTCTGTATCTGACACTGGGTGTTTGTTGGTGTGTTTGTGTGAAGGAACGGAGGTGCAGCTGTCAGATACAGATGACAGTGACGAAGGACCCTCTGGGATGGTGATCTCCACCTCCACCGACGTGAGGCTGTGGGATCAGAACAGTAATGGACCGTCTGAGCGAGTCGAGCATCAACAATCCCACAGTGCACTGGGGTCTCCTGGGTCTCCAGGCCCTGCAGGGGGCGCTGAGAGAAATTCTTCAGATGTGGTGTTTGACTTGGCCTCAGAGTCGGACTGTGAAGCTCCGTCTGCAGTCCAGACAAGGAAGCCGTTTGTCTTTGGCTCTGGAACAAGTCCCACCCCCCTGCCTGGGACCTCTGAGCTGAAGCGGGGTGCGTCTCTGATCAACTCCCTCCCCTATGACACAGAGCTGGATCTGTGCTCTTCATGGACCAGTCAGAGCCTGCCGAGCATGGTGCCCGTCCCCCACCGGCCAACACTCCTGGACAAAGTCTCTGACCTGAATGCTGCAAGTTTCCCCTTAGCACTCGGTCTTGGCGGATCCAGACTGGACCCGCTGGACCTTAACAGGTACTGCAGGGACAGGCGCTTCGTCTGCAGCTACTGCGGGAAATGCTTCACGTCGTCACGGAGCCTGGAGACGCACGTGCGTGTTCACACGGGCGAGCGGCCGTACAGCTGTGCTCAGTGCGGGAAGCGTTTCACGCAGTCGGGACACCTGAAGACGCACCAGAGTGTTCACACCGGAGAGCGGCCGTTCGCCTGCGAGCACTGTGGGAAAAGATTTGCCGGCAAGCAGAACCTGAGGATCCATCAGCAGAAACACCACGCAGCAGAGCAGAGTGCCGCTCCCGTTTAACTCAAGAGGAAGTATGTCACACAAGCACTGTCAAGCCTGAACACTGGCGTGACCAGCTGAAACATATGCACTCATGGTACAGTAAGGCGCAGAGGAGATCTAAACTGTGATGGACCAGAACCATATGCTGTTAATTTAAATTAATCTTTTTTACGCTGAGGGCCTTTTTAAAGATGTTTCTAGAAAAATGGGTGCTTTTACAAAAACTGATCGATAAACTGTTTTAATTCTGTCAGGCTTACGTATTTTTGACCATCTGAACTGCCTTGGTAGATGCCCGAGACAAAACAAAATGGGACTACGACCTGATCCAGATCAATTCTTACCTCAAATATAGGGGGCCGTTTTGGGTCCACTTCAGTACTTTAGGATCGAGCAATGACTTCCTGGTGACAGTGATTCCTGTAGAGAGTCAACAAGCATGTGAACGTTTATTGGTTGGTGTAAATCTTGGATTAAAATTGTGCAATCTTGGAAGGACAGTTTGTTTCATTCAGTGTTTACACTGCTTACATTGTAAAGTACACACTCAAATACAACTTTACAGACCAGAAGAAGCCAGAGGAGACTGAATCTCCATGCAAGAAACCAGTCAAAAGTGAGTTTGCATTCAAATATTGCTGAAACAGTCGACCAAAAAATTATAGCTCAGTAAAAAAGATGAACAGTGACTCGTTCAATCTTCTCAACTGTTAATGTTTGCTGCTTTTCTCTGTTTTAAATCTTTGTAAACTGAATCTGTTTGGATTTTAGACAGACAGAACAAGACATCTGAAGATCTTTAGCACTGTTTGTCCATTTTAATCAGCCAATATGAGTTAATTGCAGATATTTTGGCCATGTCAATATATTAAATACTTTGTCCACCTGAGACACATTTATTGTTACGCTGTAAAATTTCCTGCTTGCTGCATGTGTTGCTCCCAATTCTTTAACAGACATTTAACACTGATCTAAAAAGTTTGAAATGAATATTGATTTTTTTTTTTCTCTCAAATGTGCGTCTTCCTCAAATGGGCAAGATGGAATTTATTTTATTTTACTATAAACTGCCAAACTAACCAATAATGAAAACGATCCTTAATTGCAGCCCTACATCATTTGTGGCAAAAAGCAACTCACCAGTCACAATGAGAGGGTGACAAGGGAGTGGATTTTCACTCCTGTCCAATCCCCAATATAAAATGATTTGGTTTTAAATCAAACTAGTGTACGTGAGAACGGCATATTTATAGATAAAAACTGATCTGTGATTCTCGTCCTGCCCGCTCTCATTCAATAGTCAAATTGACTCATCCCGCAGGAATCCTAATCAACCTGTTTGAAAACCGACTGCAGTAAGCCTGTATGTATTTTATGATACTTCCCAGGCCCATAGGTGTAGTGTCACTTTCATCAAGGGGCATTCACTGTCAGTGGGAATGACCACCCAGCAGTGATTCACACCCGCTTTTGTAAGACTGCTTGCCAAGTTTAGAGGTTTCATTTTCACTGGAGCCACCTGAGGTACAACTGTGCTGCTGTCGGGCCCTCAGGACCTCAGGCTGTGTCGGTCCTCCTGTCCGTCTGTGTTGGACTGTTCTCTGCCCCCTGCACACAATGCCCAGCAAAATTCCCAAACAAATGTGTTTTGCACAATAGAAGCACAGAAAACCAGCAGCTGACTGGAATTGCTGGTTCAACTGGTTTCAAACAAATCCACTCACACTGAATGGCAGGATGTTCAACAGGGACCTTCATACTAGAAGCTGACACTTTTTTTGGGAATCCTGTGTGTCAAATTTGCAATATGAATACATGCTATTTTCTTCTTTTTCAATAACGGGATGCAACATTCTTCCCGGGTTTGGTACAGAGACAAGATTTTTTTTTCTGTCTATTGCACTTTTTCTTGCTGTCCAGTGACAACCATGTATCTCCAGATGTGGATCAGCTGGAAAATGCTTTGTCACAAATCCGAAAACAGGCTGTTCTGACTGTTTAGAGATACGTGGTTCTCACAGGACAGCAACACTACTAACAAATGATGATCTTATAGAATATGTAGCATTGCTGTAGGTTAAACCCAACAGTATGTAAAGGAGTAAAGATGAGCTCAGCCTTAAACATCTACATTACATATTCATTTAGCTGAAGCTTTTATCCAAAGCAACCTACAATTGCTATACATGTCAGAGGTCACCCGCCTCTGGAGTGGGGAATTGAACCCTGGTCTAACCCCGAGTCAAATGCAACACACATTAATACAGCATCCAGAACCATCCATTAATCCAGAAACACTGACCGAAACATTTTACTGCACTGTGAATATTTTTACTTTAAGTACATTTTGCTGACAACTTATACATACTTTTACTCATGTATGGTTTTGAGTGCAGGACTTGCAGTGTGTCACAGTGAGACATTAGAAGGGGCGTGGCATATCATCGTGGTGTAGACCCTGAAAAAGTCTGCAGTTTTTAATTTAATAATAAGAAGAATCTGTTTCAGAAACAACATGGCTGCAGGGTAACTTCCTGACTCCCTGCACAACTACAAAGATACAAAGTCTTCACTCAAATCAAGAAATTATTCAAGATGGCAAACTGCCATCTCTTGCCACTTGCTTAAATTATGTTTGTTTATTGTAATGTGATTACTTTTGTCAAAATTATGCAGCACTGTGACAGATTTAACAAAATATACTGTATTCATATCACATCTTTGAGTGTATCAATGGCAGAAGAATCTAAACATGAAATGGAAAGCAGTTTGCAGTGTTTTACTGATATGATTTGTTTAACTGTTTAATTTTTATCTACCTATTAGCATTCTATTTTAAATTAATCAATTAACATACACATCAATTCTATCTGCATATTTATTCTATTTTTTGATTTCTTTTAAAAACATTTTTTATTTATTCTGTCAATCTATTTGATTTGATTTCTTATCTATATATTTTCAATCGTATTACTTATCTATTCATTCTCTTGTATCTAACTTAACGTAAATTCTTTATTTTTAACATGGTTTTGTTCTACTTTTATCAACTTTTATTCCTTTACCTATTTCTTTTCTTTAAACATTTACTTACTCTGCTTATTATTGTATTTGTACTATCTGCCTAATCTATTTTGATCACTTATTTTGATCTTCTAATCAAGTCAAATTTGATCTTTAATCTATTTATTGTAGTTGGTGTTTCGGTCCTTGCTCCCGTTTGTCACAATTACAGGCTCTTATTCTGAAGTCAGCCGTGTTATTCCGGAAGTGTGAATCGGAAGGAAGTAGAAAAACATTTCTCTGTGGTAGTCAGCGACGGGCTTTGACAACCGCTAATAAACACAGAAGTAGTGGTCAGTTAGACTTCAGTTAGAAAAAGGTCCGAACATATTTAGGCAGCGGCTCCCTTACCGACGTAACCGTGCACTTCAGGCCGTGTTGGAGCTCCCTGTTGTCCGCCAGGACGTGTTTCAGTACGGTCCGGTTTCCTCTCGAGCCGCGGGATGGCCGTTTTAACGAGCAAAGCTCTTCACGAGCAGCTGTCCGTCATTATGGGCGCGTTGACTAAAGCGGCGGTGGCGGAAATCTGTGAGGTGGTGGACGAAGGTTACGCGGTGCTGCAGATGGAGATCACCCGGAGCCACAAGGAGAACGAGGACCTGAAGAAGAAGCTGCACCTCATCGAGTCCATAGTGGTTCGGGGGAGCGGCGCAGGGAAGGCCACAGTAACGGAGGTCGCACCGGCCGCGGACGGCGCACAGCAGACGGAAACACCGCAGCAGCAGCAGCAGCGGGACAGTGACGAAGGAGCTGCCGCTCCCGGAGGAGACGGAGGAGCGGCTGTGGTGCTGCGGCAGGAGGTAAACACACAGCCGGCCTGCCTTCATGCTGGCATCCGTCCACATTTTGATCATCATAGAAACTGATTTACGACTAGGTCATATTAGCTTATTTTACAGATGAAGTGCTTAGTCCACTAATCTCTGATCTTGAGGTTATTTATTGGTTTATTTAACAGAGACAGCACATCTTAATTGACATCGCTGTGAATGCGTCAGTTAGCCTGAAGGCTGTTTTTCACCTGTAGTCCTTGGACAGATTCCAAACAAGAAGATTAAATTACAAAAGATATTCAGATGCAGAGCAATAGTGGACAATTTGTTACTATTTTGATAGTTATGTAATCGTTAGAGCCACTTGTCAAGTAAAAATGCTAATGTTTTCTGCTACCTGTTACTCAAACATAAGCATTCTTAAGCGTTTTCTCTGTTTCATTTCATTGTAAACTGAATTAGGGTTGCAATTACAAATCAGTGCCTAAATAAGTTAATATATTGTGAAATGTTAGATAATTAAAATGTAATCTTTTTTACCAACATAAATGAACAATCTGTCCAACACCTCATTTTAATTAAGGAGCTCTAAAGGTCAAAGATGATAGTTTTTTGCAAGATGGTAACTTGATCTCTTTCCTTTTCATTATAAAAAGTTTTCAACTTATTATGTAAAAACATTGATACAGACATCATTCCCACAATAACAGAATTTGTTTTCACAACATAAAACTTTCCTCAAGTTTTTTTACTCAAGATGGAAATATAAAGAATTTTTGGACTTAATGGCCACCATGCCTTTAGCTTCTGCCTTAATAATGATAAAAGTCACTGCATCCTATTATATTTTACTGTTAGGCCTTAAGGATATACATCAAATATTGCACATGCTGAGACCATACATGGTTGCAATTATATTTCGTCCCATATAATCTCCAGATCGGAAGTTAATCATCTCCTTATCTCTGCTGCAAACCTCTGCACAGGATCTGTGCACGCTGACAGGGTTGTTGATCCCTTATCTCAAAATTACCATTTTTTAATCTCCATCTCGTTACCGTGGGCTGAGGGTCTTATTTCGGTGATAAACATGTTAATTATCTTGTTACCTTGAAAAACCAAAAGTTTTTTTTAGATAATGTGAAAATTTAAATGGAGATTAAGATAATGGGATTAAAACACTCAAGTTGCCCTACAAAAGAACAGATGTGGAAGATAATCTCAGTCAGTCACACAGAAGTCCTATTAACATTTGTACAGTTTTAGTAAATCACTTGGCTGCTGCTTGATCTTAAGCAACCGTTGGAACTTAATCCAGTGTTACAACCATCCTTGATATACTTTTTAATTATTTTCTCATTAAAACTTAAATTAACTTCATATGAATCAGCCAATCAGGACTCAAGGGACATTTTATCTTAATTAGTTTGCATATTATCGACTTTCTCAGGTTTACTTATATAAATTCAATCTGTTTTTATTGTTTACCTAATTGTAATTTGTTTACATGTTAACAATTGAATTTAAATTCTTTAGTCTGATTTCTCTTGTGGTCGTATGACTGTATTCATTTTTAAATGAAATCTTTTCCAGCTTCCAGACGTGGTGTTGATCAAAGATGAAGACTCAGACAGTAACGACACCTTTGAGGAAGGTGAGTGTAAACGAGCTCTGGGTCAGAAACCAAAGTGGGGTCACTGGCGTCCTCGCTGGGTTAACCTTAAAGTCAGCTACATGCTGGATAAACTGATTGTGCTAACTTGTGACAGTGCTTTTAACGTTGTAAAATCCTGTCAAGTATTGACTATGCCTAAACCTTCAAACTCATTGACCTGTTACTTAAGTTGAACTTTCACAATATTTCATCTTCTCCCCGTGTACCCGTAAAAACAAACTCCCATCAGCACTGCAACTTGCTGTATTTTTAAAGAATAAATGTAGTGACTTGTCAATCACAAGGTTGCCCCTCCCTAAAGCATCCCCTGCTTTATGGTGTATTTTACTCTAAATGGGATCATAATTTACTAAATGAACATTACAGTATGTATCAGTGTTTGGGAAGATGTGTTAATGTATTGTCTTGTGTGTGTCAGTGTTACCTTTAAATTCCATTCTTCTGCCTTTCTTGGCCAGGTCTTCCTTAAATGATTCTCAGTGGGCTTCTTCCTGGTTAAATAAATGGTCAAATTTAAAAAAAAACAAAACAAACAAACACCATGCTGTGTTGAATAAGACTTGAAACTAGCGACGGAGACTATAAACTCATTAGGAAAGTGTTTACTTAGGTAATAAATCAGGTGAGAAGTAGCTTCATTTTCTCAGACTTCTAAACAATCTGACCCCCTGCTGGCCAAAGAATGCAGGTTTAAGGCACTTCTGCATTGGCTACACTTTTCAAACTTGGATTTGTGCTTGTATTCAGCCCAGTCCTCGTCTTTGCGTCACATCACCTAAACACTCCCAGTTCATAGTAGCGATTCATATCTGGTCACACTCGACTTGGTGACTCGCAACCAAGCCTGCAGGATGTGACTGCAGAGCACTGGCAATGCATTTTTTTCCCCAGCTATGTGATGTATTTTGTTTTTTCCTTCAGATAACAAAACACCTGCTGATGGAGGGACGGCTGCAGCCAGAGAGGGCGCCACGTCGAGTCCGATCAGCCGGAGTGTGAAGAGACACTGGCCGGGAAGCGAAGACACTGAGAGGAAGACATCTGAGCAGCTCACACTGAAAACCTCCAAAGTGAGTGCAGGGACACAGAAGAAGAGCGTGTCCGTCTACACGCTGGACTCTCCTCGCAGTGAGCCGGGCTGCTCCGGACAGCTTGGCGGTGATGAGATGGAGGCCGGCGAGTCGGTTTGTTCCTACTCCTCTCAGATGGACCCGGACGTCCAGCTGGTTCACCAGGAGTGCTCGCTGGTCCCGCCTAGCGCTAACAGACAAACAGCGTATTTTGGTAACAGCGCTCTGATGGAGGCACAGTCACCTACAAACAGAGCAGAACTAGACCTCAGCCTGACGTGGACCAAGCAGTCGAAAAGTCAGATGACTTTTGCTCAGTTTCACCAAAGCGAAAACGTGGACGGCGACGCTTTCGGGATCAAGCTGATCAGCGTCTCAGGCTCGACTTCCACAGACTGCCAGCTGTCTGAAAGCAGCAACTCTGCGTTTGAGTACGACGACGGCGACATGATGAACTTTGCCCTCTACAGGGATCAGTCAGGTCGATCTCAGCTGTGTAACGGGCAGCCAAACGCCGGCGCACGGGGGAAGCGCTTTGTGTGCTCCATCTGCAACAGGACGTACGCCACGTCTCAGAACCTGGAAGTTCACATGCGGATCCACACGGGCGAGAGGCCGTTCAGTTGCAGCCAGTGCGGCAAGAAGTTCACCCAGTCAGCTCATCTGAAGTCGCACCTGAGCGTTCACTCCGGAGAGCGGCCGTACGCCTGCACGCTCTGCTCCAGGAGCTTCATCGTCAAATATAGCCTCAAATTACACATGAAGAAATGTCACCCCAACGTCTGAGTGTGGATGAGCGGGGGTTTCGTTCCAAAATGTTCTGTAAATATCCAGTTTTAAAAGGAAAAAAAGTTAAAGTTTTCTAAAGGTGTAGAAGGCAAATTGAGTTTATTTATCAGTCTATTAATCAGTTAATTTCTTGTTTTCTGGGGGGCATTTTTGCCTTTATTTGATACTGACAGCTTAAGAGATACAGGAAAAGCATGAGAGAGAGGGGATGACATGCAGCAAAGGGCCACGGCTTGGAATATAAACAGAGGACTCAGGGTTATCCCAGGTGAGCTAACAGGGCGCCCAGTCAGTTAATGAATGACAGAAAATTCATCAGCAACTATTTTGATAATTGAGTTATAGTAAAGTCATCCAAGGAAGGTTAAAATCAAGGGTAACTGGATGTGGTTGAAGACACTAGAAGAGGTTTTGCTGGATGAGAGGCCAAACATCTTCAAGTATGGAGGACATTTTTATGGGGATTGTTCAGCCTTTTGTGCTTTTACAATGCATTACAGCATCTCATTTAATGAAATAGGAGATGCCTGATTTTGGTATGAGACCTAAAATTTGCTTTGTCTCTGCTCTTAAAGTCTGTAGTGTAGCCTAAAGCTCAGAAACCATTTAGTCGTGTAGAAAGTCACAGTTTTTGTGTCATTCTTGGTTAATAAAACAAATGATTAAATTGTTTTGTACCAGTTATTACCTTTTTGTAAAAAAAATTTAAAAACAAGAGAAGTCAAAGGGTTGTTTACACAGGATAAGATAATTGTTAACAGGTTGTTTTCTTGTGATGAGGTCATGTTGTGATGCTACCATGATGTTGTGTTCCTTGATGTTATATAATCATTTGAGCAGATACTGATCGGATTCATAAAAACTCAGTTTTTCATCACTGTTAAAAGGCTAACAGACACAAAATGGCCATAAAGAGAATATTCAAAACTGCTTTTTTAAGACCCCCTCCTAACATGTACTTAAACATATTGTCTGCTTGAAACATGTGTGATGTTTTTTTTTTCCACAGCAAAATGTGTTTCCTCATTAAAATCCTTAAGGTCTCCACACCTTGCTCATTAAAAACTCCAGAATCTATAAATATGCAAATTTTGTTGATTTCTGAAGTTTCCCTGCTGGACACAAGATGTCTCCTACATCACTGTAAATCCCACTCTTGGTGTAAGTGCACTGGCAATGCCACATTTCTACATCACTTATCCATCCATCCATCTTCATCCACTTATCTGGGGTCAGGTCGCGGGTACATCACTTGTATAAGTTGCAAATGAATGAAAGGAGCCTGATGATGTCAAATCAGTCTGCACAGTGAAGTTTAAACATCCAACTGTAGAACAGGAAGTGGAGTGGACAAGGATTTTAAAGACTTGGGATAACGAAGTAATTCCTCTATAAATTACATTTCATCTCTGGTCGTACAGAATGATGAATTGAAAGCATGAAGAACAACAATGGTCACAATATTAATGAGCCATATTTGGAAATCAGTTCACTGCAGACACCAAATCTAAAGGCCAATTTATACTTCTGCGATCAAATCTACTCCATATGCACCCCATCCCCTACGCTGTAGGCTGACACGCACCTCCCTGAAAATCTAACTCCATGTTGCAGCAACGCAGGCCCCAAGAACTTGGTAATATCCTGCTACGTAGGAAGGCTGAAGACCTTTCACGTGTCTGACTGGTTATAATAAATAATAATAATAATAATAATCTGTCAGTGAGACCGATGTGGGTTGGTTTATTGTAAAAAGAAAGTGTTTTAAGCAAAAAAAAACAAATTCTTTGCTTCTAGCTCCTCCAATGACAATATTTGCTGTTAGACCGCTAGAAAAGTGATGCACTTTCTCACTGGTCCTGCACCCTGAAACTTAACAGCACAAAAGGATACTAAAGGTCAGTACCCACCCAGCCACAGCCTGTTCACCCTGCTGCCTTCTGGGCTACAGTCACACCACCAGACTGCAGAGCAGCTTTTGCCCCAAGCTATCAGACTATTTCTGTTTACCATTTTTATTGCTTGTTTAATTGCTTCTGGGTCATTATATGAAAACGTGCCATTTTGTGTCCCTCAGGAAAAAAAGGCTCTGTAAATTTAATAAACCATAATTTTTTTATAATATTTATTATAATTAATCATAAATATTTTATAATTTAGTTTCCATAATATCAGAATAAATTATTTTCTGTTTGTTTTTAAAGGATTTTAATCACTTTTTTGTGCAAAGCATCTTGCAGAAATGTTGAAAATGGCCTGTCCCCTAGTATGATTTTTCTACTTCTACCTGCTATAGAGGCCAAAAAAGTCAAACTATCATACAAAAACTTAAACCTTGTCAACCATATAAAGCCTCAGGTGTTGTCTCATGAAGGGGTTTTATTATTAATATGTGTAAAATATTGCAAAAAACAATTTAGTCGGGTCCCCATGTTGTTGTCAATCCTGTTACTTTTAATCAAAACACCCCTTTAAAGCTGATGGACTGTTCCAAAAGTTGCATAATTTCCAGGAAGTGACATCACTTGCCTTTTTATGAAGTTTATGGTAAAAGACAAGTAATTGTCACCTCCTTTAATGGATTTTTTTTGAGTTACGTAATGTCTCACTGAGGGGACGAGCTCAGTGTGTCAACCCTGTTACCACAAAAACATGTTAAAAAGTTATTTGTTTGAAATTTTAAATGTACATAACATTTAACCCTCATGGTGATCATGAATGATCACCCTGTGATGTCATGACATTTACCACAAGGCTAGTAGTGGCTGGCAAAGCTTTTCATCAACCCTGTTACCATTTCAGTGGTATATTCAAAGGTATATGCTTTTGTGTGTTGTCCTGGAATTTATCATATCAGTGAGTCTAACATATAATTTTCATCACACTGTACATGAACATATACTTTTCTTACCCAAAAAGCGTTAATCGAGGGCAACTGGACTTGGTTGAAGATGTTTCACCTCTCATCCAAGGGGCTTCTTCAGTTCTAATACTGGTGGGGAGTCCCGGGTATTTTACCTCTGTGGGGTTATAATCAAAGTCATTGGTGGTTAGTGCTGCTGGCTATTGTAACAACAGTAGTTGTTGGAATTTTCACTCCAACAATCTCCTGGAAAAGAGATGAAGGACAGCGTTATATGTAGGGGATAACTTTGGTAGACATCCTCCTTTCTTGAGAGATCAGTTTCTCTACTTTGAAGTAGATAGTCTCTTTCAAACTATCTGTCCTCTCTATCCAAAATATGTATGTTGTCTTTCAAAGAGTGTCCCTTATTCTCCAGGTTTAGGTTAACCTTCCTGTGTTGAGCCATATGTTTTATTAATGTTTGTTTGGTTTCCCCAATATACAAATCTGTGCATTCCTCACTGCATTAGACAGCATACGCTATGTTGCTTTTCTTGTGTTTGGGTTGGGGTCTTTCAGGTGGACCAGTTTCTGTCTTAGTGTGTTGCTGGACACAGGGATGTGGTGTTTGTTGAAAATCCTCTTGAGTTTCTCTGACACTCCTGACAGGTATGGAATGACGATGTAGAATTTTATTCCTCTTTTCTTCACCAACCACAGTATTAGAGTTCTTCTTGGATCTTGTGGCTGTTTTCACAAGGGTCCAGTTAGAGTATCCACAATGACATTCATCCTTTTGTGCTCCTTCTTTTAGGGCCTGGACACTTGTTGGTATGTTGCATCTTGCTGGATTATCAACTTGGTGGTGCAGTTTTGACAACTCCTTGCTTCTGCTCTAGTGTGTGGTGATAGTATTAAGTAAGTACTCGTCTGTGTGTGTGGGTTTCCTGTATACTCCAATGTGGAGGTTCCTGTCCTCTTCAATGTGTATGGCACACTCTAAAAAAGTCATCTTTCACAAGAGGTAAAGACAAGAGGGAAAAATGCAACAACATTATGATTCCATTACTGTATTTGGATGGGGAAGACAGATGGTTTAAAAGAGGAGTGAAGGAGGATATTTACACCAGAATAGAGAAACCAGCTCTCAACAGAGAAGGATATATGACACCACTTATCCCCCATATATAATGCTGTTGTTTCATATGTTCCTAGAAGATTGAACAATTGGTCACATTTGGCCTCTTGTGAAAATTCCAAAGACTGTTTACACTTGGCCTCATTTGACAACATGGACCCTAACGACCTAATGTTGTTACAATAGTCAGGATCACCAACCACTAATTGGTATCAATGACTTTGATCATGACCCCATAGAGGTAAAAATACCTGGAACTCCCCACCAGTCATTTAGAACTGAAGACGCCCCTTGGATGAGAGGTGAAAAATCTTCAACTAAGTCCAGCTGCCCTCTATTCAACCCTTCTCGGCTAAGAAAAGTATATTTTTTATGTACCCACAGGCCAAACTATTTCATTTTTCACATTTATTTGCAGTGTAATTTTAATATGCTTAAATTAAACAATTGAATTGAGTTAAATCTGTAGTATCATCATAAAGTTGTATAAACATTTATGCTAAAACCTCTCAACAAATCTGTCTCCAAAATATTGTTATGTTGAATTAAAAGTTTAAGAATGTCCCATTTTAACTCCATTACACCCATGACTGTAACTTAAACAAGCAGTGTAACCAATACGGTAACTGTTGTCAACCCTGTTACTGATGTGTCAGCCCTGTTACTAAAAATATAAATTAAATAGGAAATTAAATATAAATTTAAATAAAATTGTGAATTCAACTAATGGTATAAGTTAAGTAGAAGAGACCAGTAATACACTCAAAAAAATTGGGATATTATTACTTAGTTTTCATAACTTTTTCTTAACAGAATAAGTTGTAACCGTATTAATTGTAAATGAATGTATTCATAAACTAGTCAATATTCCCACTTTAACACTCTTATTGTAACAAGTGGTGTAATCTTTCATAGCATTTCATATTTGCTCTAAATATGGTTTTAAAACCTTTTCAAACAGTAACTGATATGTCGGTAACAGGGTTGACGAAACACATACATGCAAGTTGATTATGTGAAAAAAAAAATTTTAGAAGTAAGATGGTCTGAGATGGCACGGCACATTTTTCTTAGAGCTAAGGATCTACTTCATCCAAAAAGGGACTTTTCTATGTTAATGTATATTGTCTGCTATGTAGCAGAAGGGCGTTAGAAACTTATTTTCACTATATAATCTGTTGTATTAAATAATAAATACCTACCTAGCCTATTTATCGATAAAGTCAATCAAATGCGCTGTGTGTTTGAGGTTAAACTGGATCATGGTGAAGGTGCTGAAATAATTTTGAAAATACCTCAGATAATGTAAACTTTGCACATGCGCATTCTGGGTTGTCTTGTTGGGTTGTTTTTTTTTTTTTTTTTAATCACTTCCTGGTTTGTCTCGGGACTGTTTACATCAGGTGAAATCTACATCCTGATAAACGGAGAGAGCGCGTGCGTTTCTGCTTTTGTCCCCTGCCAGGACGCAGTGATCTGGATTGTTCTGTTTCAACACACGCACGCGGTAGATTAAAAACATGTCCCCGGCCGCTGCCTTCCACGCGCAGCTCGCCTCCATCATGGAGGTGCTGGCCAACACGGCGGTGGCGGAGATCTGCGAGCTCGTAGACAGCGGTTACTCGGTGCTGCAGCTGGAGATCTCGCGGAGCCGCAAAGAGAACGAGGTGCTGCGGAGAAAACTGCGGCTCATGGAGCTCCGAACTGCCCGCGCGACCGCCTTGCGAGCCGCGGCCACCGCAAGCGGCACCGCGCTGCTGCACGCGAGCGGCCGCGCTCGAGCTCATCTGCCTTCTCATCACCCTGGCAACGAGCCGAGGAGGAACGGCACACCTGGAGGTAAGTTAATTTTATAGTACAGGCTATTACAGTGAATAGCAGAAGACGTGAACGTGACGTGAAGGGCGTGTGTTGTGTTTACTGAACATCTGGTAAACTGCAAACCCTGCGGCTTGATCCATACAGCGCAACAATGGGATCTCAGAACTTTACTAGGGTGGTTATTTTTCACACCTAACCAAGTCGCCAAACAATGTTAGCTAACATTTTAAGGTTTAAAGCCGCGAGAGAATTTAGAATGATATCAAAAGGTGCGAAAATAAAACTATTAATAGTCAGCTTTGTCAGTTGTCTTGAAACAAGACAAAAACACTCAACTCAAGGTCTGTTTAGTGCTTTCTAGCTTTCCCGAATTTTCGAGCTCATCTCATAACCAGCAGATGAAGTTTGCTCAGTAGACATGGAGATTGCTCTTGATCTTCCTCAGTATCAAGGTTCAAACTTCGTTTGCTGAGGAAGACCTTGAGATGTGCTTGAAAGCTCTGAAAATATAATTATCTTTGTCCAAATTTCACTCCACTACAGTACACTGCATACTATAAGCACAGCTATGTACTAATTAGCTGCAAAGAACATGCTATACGAAATTAGTTCAATTCATTGATGTCAAGACATGTTTAAGATGTTTTTAGCATCAATACAGATGAGAATCTTTTTGTTTGACAGTCTTCAGGATGAAGTTGTCAATCAATACTATTCATCAACAGAATTTAAAAAACAAATTGATAAACAGCTGTTTTGTAAATTGAGCACCTAACTTGCTGTAAATGATCCATAACTTCATTACTTATGCCTGCAGGTCAGGTGTCTTTGTCCAGAGCGTCCAACCCGGAGACTCTGCGGTGTGGAGACAATCTGTCCTCAGACTCTAGACAAGACACAACACAAGGGACAGTGAGTAGAGGTGAAATGATAGCAGGATTTGATGTCCTCCCTCAGTCCTTCAGTTTTATTCTCCTCTGATTACAGGCTGCTGCAGGTGAGTCGACCAAACCGACGACCACAGTGATCAAAGTGGAGGACAACGATGAGTCTTGGTCCCAATCTGAGCCGGAGAGTAAGTACAGTTTTAGTAAATAAAAAGGGCATGTACACTTTAACATTACTGACAAACTTCAGCAAAGTTTACTTAACACTGTACATTCAAAGCTATGCAGGTGTACCAGTCAGCTGGACTAGAGGCCGTCATGGGTTTGTCTATTAGTGTCCGAGAACTGATCTGGGACACGAGTCAGGCTGGGTCCAGATTAGAGCTAAAAGTTATTAAACTGGATGACAGAAATTACATTTTTTACATAAATGCCAATAAGTCACTGGTTCCAAGTTCTTGAATGTGAATATATGCTTTATGCTTGTCTTTATTTACAGTAACCTGAATATCTGTGGGCAAGCTCTGGGAAGTTGTTTTGTTTTTTTCTTTCTCACTGGCTCATTATGGATCAGGTCTCAAAGTTTGGACCTGTGAAGACCTCTAATGTGGACTGGATAAAGTGGGGGATGTGGTCCCCTTTTGGTTTATTTTGTTAACTGGTGGCTGACCTTTGGCTAAGCTACAGTCTGGCCCTTGCGTGGCACCTAGTAGTGGACCATCCCCAGGCCATCAGTCAGTGTGGCATGTGGGGTAGATCTGGGCCATAATGCCGAAGTAATAATTACGTATGTGTTTTCGGCTTCCACAATTAAGCTTTTGGGTTAAATACTTTGGATGTTGAATGTCTGCTCTGGAAGTTTAAAAGTATACAGGAAAAATGAAGGCAGTCTTCAAATAAAGTAATACCTTTGGGTACCATTTCAACTGCAGGCCAAATTACTGCTAAAAATCTGCTAATATGTACATAAAGTTGGGTGTGATTCTGTTTTTCTTTTTCTCCAGGAGATTTCTGTCGTGTTGTTGATGGACATTCGATGGAGACAGAAGCCCCTCCGCCACTGACCAAACAGGAAGAAGCAGACGAAGGCGACAGTTCAGCTCGGTCGTGGGTGAGTGGGGAAGTCAGCTCCACCACCATGTCCATCCAAAAAACCCTGAACGCCAGCCAGAGGTCAGAAACCAGCAGTTATGACTGCCTGATGTACGAGCCACAGCTCCAACATGGCTCCCGCAGTACCCAGAATCCTTTGAGTGAGGATCCCGGCTGCTCGTATGTGTTGAACACCAGTGTGAGTGTTTCAGCTGCGTCTGATTCAGGCGGTAGCAGTTTCCCTTTCACAGTCAGTGAGGAGACTCTGTCGGCAGCAGAGCACAAGCAGCCTGCAGGTTTCCAGAGCAGCCAGCAGAGGGCGCCATTACCTGCAGATGAGCCGCAGCTCCCCATAAGGAAAGACATGACAGAAAGGCAAAATGCTTTCATCAGAAGGGACAGGTGGAGACATCACGATGGCGTCAACAGGGCCTCCAGTCACGGCAGGGAGGACAGTGGGGGGAAGGCATTTGTCTGTAACTGCTGCGGTAAAACTCTGGCCTGCCTGAAGAACCTGAAGACCCACATGAGGGTCCACACAGGTGAGAAGCCCTTCGTCTGTGCGCTCTGCGGCAAACGCTTCTCCGACTCCAGCAACCTGAAACGCCACCAGAGCGTCCACACTGGAGAGAAACGCTATGGCTGCGTGCACTGTGGGAAACGCTTCGCCCAGTCAGGATCCCTGAAGGTCCACATGACCGTCCACACGGACTGCAAACAGTTCAGGTGCTCTTTCTGCGGCAAAACCTTCATCTCCGGCAGCCACCTGCGCCGCCATATCACTGTGCATGGAGGAGAGAAACGATTCGCTCCAGAGTTTCAGTAGTTACAACTAATCGACTGACAAATCTTGTTTCAGAGTGAGACAAAGCAGGCAACTGCACTGGGGCCCCCTGTCCCAGTTTTACTGCAAGTCAGTTGGTTTTGATGACTTGTAAGAAAATTTGCATGACTAAATTACAAATCTATATTGTGATAGGTGCTCAAGGTCAAAGTCTAGTTTTAAGAGCTTGATTATTTCAGTTTATATTGCGTTCACATGGTGCATATTCCTCAATTCAGTTACCACCACCAGACAACCTGGGGCCAAGTGTTTCTCCAGCAGAGGACTACTATAATGAAGCTGTCACGGGATGTCTGCGGTTTGTTCTGGACTGGAGGCGACAGAGAACATGGACAATGTGTGACTTTATTGATTCTCTCATCTGTCAAGTCTTCCCTTCCCCACCCCCCAAACTATAAAATGTCCAAAAAGTGAATCACAAGTTCTGAGAGAGGAGGTCTTAAAATGGTATTGTTTTGTCCATCTGAAACCCAAAGATACATTTATTCTCATACATGAGAAAGACAAATAAGTCAGCCCTTACTATATACACACACCCTTTTTTTTTGGTATCTTTTGGCAACAACTTTTTAAATTTTCTTTGTCGATCTACTCAGAAGGTGGTGGTGTTAGGGAGGCCCCTTACTCACAGTTTCATCACCCTCTGAGTGTTGCATCCTTTTTTTCCCTCTGTTTTAGGGAAAACAAACCAACTGTATTGTTGCTAAGGTGTTGATTTGGCTCAGCTGACATTTTTGTGGACAGAATTTGTTGTTTTGTACTGTGTCACTTCCTCTTCGCAAATGCAGTTTTCCACATGGCGTCTTGATCTGAGACGTGTTCTCTGCCACATGACATCATTCTGGCCTGTGAGTAACTCTGCAAGTCGACTACTGTTGCCTTATAAAAACATGGTAAATCAGTTTAAGTTTGAAGTTTGATTTTTCAGTTTGAGATTGAGATGTGACTCCGGCTGTGTCCCAGAGCGAAATCAGGTTGCTGAAAACAAGTTGATCTTCTAAATTGTTAATGTTTTCACATCAGTTGAAGGATTATGTGCTGCTCAATGTGTTGCAGATATTCACTCACCTCATGTCCAACCAACAATCTGCAGGTTTGAGCTGATCTGTTCTGCAGGTGATTTCACTGATGACTTCCTGCCCTGCTACATCAGTGGGAGGAGTCATAGGTGGGTGTGAAAACCTGCAGGCTGTTCGATTGATCAGCAACATTTTTAAGATACAGTGGTCAGCACTGTTTCCTCACAGCACAAAGGTTGTGGGTTCAAACCCCGGTTGCCCCGGCCTTTCTGTGTGGAGTTTGCATGTTCTCCCCGTGTCTGCGTGGGTTCTCTCCGGGTGCTCCGGCTTCCTCCCACCATCCAAAGACATGCAGGCTAGGTTAATTGGTGTCTCCAAAATTTTCCTTAGGTGTGAGTGGCCCTGCGATGGACTGGCGACCTGTCCAGGGTGTACCCCGCCTTTCGCCCAGCTGGGATTGGCTCCACCCCCCCGCGACCCTGTACGCAGGATAAGCGGTTGACGATGGATGGATGGATTTCACCAGACCATGAGTACTCTTTACATTCAACAGCTCAAAATTGAAAAGATAACCCTCCAGTAGCATAGAGTGTTGCTGCTGAAATCCATAATGTATGACATTTTCAACCCACCATCTGTTTTTGTTTTGCTGACTCCACCATGTTTGAAAAATAATCTGCATGTGTTTGTCTGAAGGTGAACAGTTATATCTGCGACTTTTCTCCAAGAAGCTGTTTGTTCAGTATTTCTCTTAAACGCTGTTTAAACAGAACATCTGTTGTGTTTACATTTTGTGATACAGCCAATAACTTTTTATGATCATCATGTCATTTTGTAATAAAAGAAGTATCTGTATCGCAAGAACCTTTTCATTCATCATTTATCCCCCAAAAATGACTGCGCAAGTACCTGAAGAAGACTGACACAGCATTATTAAAATAACATATTTAGAGTCTTGGATGGAAAGAGACACACTTTGGAGAGTTTAATTACTGTAAAACGTCAATTAAAAGCCTAGTCCCAATTAAGACACCTGTCCCTTTTACTGGCCTGGTTTTTCTAGAAGTTCTTTGCATGTACAAAACCTCTTAAAGCCCACCTGGTTGCCTTTTTGAGCTACTTCTAAGCTGCTTAGAGCCCAAATACAAATATAAATGTTGAAATGTTGTCAGTGTCAACATGCTACACACCTTTAAATTTGATTCTTCACAATTCAATTGTTCAGTTTATTTTATGGAAACCATTAGCACCTAAGTCTAATTTATTCAGGTTTACTGGCATGGTAAAGAGAGATGAAAAAAATGTGTGTCCATTCCTGTAATCTGTATAGATCCACCGATCAAAAGAATCTAAATGATTTTGAATAAAAATGAATCCAAGTTGAAATAACTACAGTAACCTTTGACTTTAATCCTGTACTCTCCATCTCTTTCTCTCTTTCTCTCTTTCTCTGTGCTTGAGGTTGGCCTAGATGTGCTGAGCTTGATCAAATTAATGATTTATTATTGATGTGTTATCCTAGTGATTGGAATAAATAGTTTAATAGTGTTCCCATCTTTGCTGAGAGTTATAGACCTTAGAGCCGCCTGTCCCAAATATAGGCAGGGTGAGTTCAGGGATTGAAGCAAATAACAGCCCGGGCTATTAACATAAAAGTTTTATGGGGAAAAATTTAAATGGTTAATGATTTTAGTTTAACTGAAGGTTTACAGTCTTTCTCCTCTTTTGGATTCCTCTTAAACGGTCAGTTCAAAATCTAATTACAAAAATCACATGTTTTTTTTTACCTCCTGTACCCCTGCTGGTATCCACCCATACAAAGCATTAAACTTGCATTAAAAAATAATGATACTTCAAAAAACATCCCTCACAAACTTCTCCATGGATACCATCATCATGCATCAGCAGTGTAGTTTAAAATTTTTGATGAAAAAGGGTCATTTCAGACATTTTGTCAAAATCTGTAATACGAAACTGTAAAAAAAATCCTCATTGCAATTTTTCTTAAACATCCTAATAAACAGCAGGAGCTTCAGTGTATCATCTGTATTACCCGTCTGCATGTCCATCAGCTGAAACAGGAGGGGAGTTTGTTTCCTGTCAGCTGCACCTGTAAACTGATCTTAATTTGTTCACCACACTGAAATAAAGAGATACACAAATACACGGTTTGTCTTTATAACCGGTTTAATAGATGATAAACATTCACTTTAACTTGAGAAAACATTTTCACTGAAACTGGTCAATCTGATAACATGCGAAATACTGTAAAAATTAAATCTTAAAAAGCAGCGCCATCAACAGGCAGAAAGGGCCTACTACTCATGATCCAAATCACTAAACTACTGTTTCTATAAGACAATTAGCTGAATGAAACACAGGGATTTACACTTTGTGTCATTTTGGAAGCAAATTTGTCACAGTGATTAATACATTATTTGTATCTTGTAAAATAATACATTATTTGTATCTTCTTTGGGTGTCAATTTCAAATTTAAATCTAGTTTGCGCATTGTTTCTGGTTTAATTTTACAGTTTTCAGAACAGGGGATAAACTATCAGAGACTTTAATAACATGAAAACAGTACAATTGAATAAAAACATATTATAAAACAAATATAATAAGTGCCGTCACATAGTATCACATTTCCACCTTTGGAAACAAGTGCAGTCAATGGAAGAAAAAAAACCCTGTGTACAAGACCATGTATAGTAGCTGCATTACAACACAAACAAGCTAAAGGTTTGATTCATCCAAGAGAATGTTATATTAAATGTTTTCCATCTTTTACCTCATAAAAGTTTATATAAAAGAAAAAAAAATCACTAACTGCCAAACTTGATGCATGTCTAACTTTTATCATTTAACGCTGCATTGACATTTTTAGCCACCAGGGGGCAGAAAAATAGACATGTAACACATCATCCAGCAACATTATCATACCATTGGAGTGATGTTTGTATCCACCTCATTAATCCAAGTCCAATATTCACTCTCCTTTTAGCTCTAGTTTAGTCTCCACCATCTCCTGTGGGAAATAGCTGGCTCATATTTTCAGCCATAAAACCAAAACTAGGAGCTAGAAAAGGCTGAAAGGCTTCTTGGAGCTGCAGAGGTCATGATCTGTCACATTTCACAGAGTGATTTGAAAATTGTTCATATCAAAAGTAATTAGTCATGCAGAGCTGTATTACAAATATCAGCAATATAAATGGATTTGTGTTCATTGTTGAATCATCAGATTTCTACAAATTTGGCACTTTGAGTGAATAAAACACACCGATTTTCCTTTAAAGGTCCAGTCACACCAGCATTTAAAAGGCAAAATTTTACAGTGAAATCAATTATTTTCAATGTATATAGCCACAATCAGCAGATTCTCTTTCAGGACTTTAGTTAATCCAAGCTTATTTTCCGCAAATTTGCACCATTGACTAACAGAAAGCTGTCTTGACAGAGCTGGGGAAGGATTATTAGCTGCGTGTCACCAGCTAATAAGCTTATTTAACTTTCTCTGTCTGAGTATAAACTTTTCTACAACAGAGACATGGTGTACTCACAGGTAAAAGACAGTAGTAGTAGACCCAGTAGTTTTCTGGTGTGGCCGGACATTAACCCTTCATGTTACAGATTTGATGCCACCTTTATGACATGTGAGATGGATGGTAGTGAAAAAGATTCAAGAAACTGTTAATTACTGTAATTCCTCTATGACATAGATGCAGTATGATTATCACAACAACTTGAACATAAGCTTTATATATATATTATCCTAATCCATTCAGACAATCTGGAACATGAAGAACTAAAGATAAAAGGTTCTCTGCTCCTCTGGTCAACATGGACAAAAGTCCACTACACAAAAACACACATGAAAACATTTAAATTTCACTCAAAGAGTTGATTTGTGCTGTCAGTGAAAACAAAGCACATCTCACCTCTCCCTTCTTCAGGTTTGCTAAAAGTCTTGGCATAGTTTGAGGCCCAAACATGATCGAATTTGAAAAGCTTTATAAAGTCAAAACCTTATAATGCCATACAGTACTTTGTTTTCTTTACATTTACATCCCGGCTTCCAGCCACACTTCTTTTCCTGATGAAAACATGTATTTCTCTTTTCCTCCTACAGGAGTCACAGAGAGGTAACCGATCAATACAAACTGTTTGTATATGACCTTCAGGGAAAGATTCTCTCCCAAAATATTCCTCCCTGCTCACGGTTAGGGTTTTAAAGCTCAACACAGTTCATAGTTGAGTTTCTTCCATTTTCTGGAATTATTGCTCCCTCAGAAAGTACAATCCCTGTTTCAAAGTAAGACTGTGCGAAGGACCTGACTGATACAGGAGTTGTGATGCCAGCTGGGTGGAGTTTGTCCCACAGAAAACAGGACCGGCTGTGTTCACACATAGACTTTAAAACTGACACTGACCCACGTTTACTGGCAGGAAGGTGCTAAGTTCTAATCAGTTTGGATGAATTCAGCTGCTATGACGCAGTGTTTTGCTCATGATTGATCCAAATCTTGGCTCACTCCAAAGTTTGAAATGACACCCATCAGAACAACACAGCAACAGCAGGTTGAGCTGAAACGAGGAGTTTGTTGTTACTGAAACAAGTAAATCTGCTTTGTACTTTTCCTCATAGTCATTTGTTCAGGCATCAAATGTGTGAACAGCCAAATATATTACAAAATATAGATTTTTTAGATCTGAAAATATTCCTGATGCAGTAAACTCCACCCACCTGCTACACCATGCAGGTTAAATCAAACACTCCCCACTGGAGCAGGTCTGTTAAATGTGTCAGCAGCATTTTAGGCATTAAATTAAACACATCCCTGTATTATTCAGTATTTCTGCACTGCTGGCTGATATAAAGGCACTTAACAGCTTAAGAGTTTTACTACAAAAAGCTGCAGAGAACAACTGGGAACCTGAATATCATGTAACATTTCAAATACAGAAGATTGATGAGGTGTATTACCTGCTACTCTTAAAGTAGCACAAGGGAACTATTGTTCTCTGACTTTATTTATAAAGTTCATTTTAGATTCGTCTCCACGTCTGATTAGTTTTAACTATCAGTATGAAATCAATCAGAATGAGGTAAGAATATGTAAAGCCTTCAAAACGTGTATCTGCAGAATGCAACATGGCCCCATCCATCAACTTATCAATCAAGTGATATTAGGTGCGTGGCTTCATGCGGCGCTGAAGACTTAACATAAGGCATGCTGGTTAGAAATTGTGTTTCGCTGGCACTGCAAAACTTCACCATGTCACATGACATTAAAACCTCGCAGGAGCAAGGCAGCTGCAGGTGCCTAGTCCAGCGGCCGCAGTTTCTTTTCTCCGGCTGCACAAAGTTGGAACCCCACACTTGCCGGATCTCTGAGATCAATGACTGATCGATGACTGGCATTTGCAAAGAAAAATGCCGCCAGATCAGCCATTGATCTCAGCCCACAATAAGCTCACACGGGTAGAATGTGTCCGACTTGACGTCGCCATTTTTTTTCCCCACCCCTGCAGTCGCCTGCAGCTCACGTTAGACTAGAAGTTGGTGAAAGTCAGCCACAGTCATCTCGAACGCACCTAACAAACTAAACGTCTCCTTCTTATGATGCATTTTCCAGACGTCAGAAAGTCAGAAATTATTATTCTGTAACAGCAAAACCCTTTCTTGTCAGAACTCTATCCAGGAAACCAGAATTCAGATTTTCACAATAAAATCTGAGCTGGTGCAGCTTTAATGTAGCAGGACAACATGATTCTTCAAAAAGATTTTATGCTTTGTGTCTTTATTTAATTGTGGCTATTTCATTTTGGAATAAAACTCTTCATTCCGTGTCCTCAGGAAAGAAAATGGCAGTTCTCTTTCTGTGGTTACAATTTTAGATGAACTAGAACGGTGTATTTAGAAAAAGTCACAGCTCTTATTTGGAATAGAAGTGAGGCTTCACAGCGACGCTCGCCACTTGTTTTGCTGTTGGACCTGAATTTGTTCTCCAGACAAGTAAAGTATGATGTTTAGTCACTTTGGACAGCCCAAAAAAGCCAAGTTCAAATATTAACAATAAAAGATACAATTACGGTTTTTCAAAAATACATCAGGTACATTTGGGTGTTTTATATTTGATATGGATACTTTTTATCTTCATACCTGCTAAACTACTGTAACTCATGTCACCATGTCGATGAGCTCCTTCAGCTTTTTAAACAGGAACACACTGATTCAACTTTTACACTCCGGGAAAATCCAGACATGATGTTGGTGAAAGGTTTTTATAGTTCCAACATTTAGCACAGAAGAAACATGAACGTTTCCAAACGTCTCCCAGTCGTAAGTCGAGTGCAGCATTAGCACAAGTAAGTGTTTGAGGAAGTCCTGTCAACAACCTGGAAGCAACACCATGCTAATTTCCCCGGCATTTTGCTTTGGATTTGTCAGTTTCAATTTAATTTAAAAACAGTTAACAGCGTAAAACATATTTGGATAAAGATTTACATTCAAAAAGTGCTTCAATCAGGTGTTGCTGTAAAATGTTTTCCGGAGCTCAGCATAACTAAAGTCCTTTAAGTGCAACTTACATGCAAACAGTTAGTGAAATGTAAAAAATTCTACTGTGTCCCATCAGACCTTTTCTGTCACTCCTCCAGGTTCACGTGGAAAACATCGAAAAACTGCCTCCTGGCACTCCTTTTACTCGTTTCTTGATGTGATATCCTGAAAAACAGAATAATTAGAAGCGGTTACTCTTATTTCTTCACTGCTATTTTGTGCCAACAAAATTAAGTGAAACTTGTTTGATTTTGGACTCACCTCCGTCTTCGCCCTCCTCCACTCGCCCATCGGCCCTGACTTCATCAGGACTGTAAGAGACCGGATCGTCAGAAATGTTTTAACAAGACACCTTATTAATTTGGTAAATTTATCATCAAAATGTCTGAGTGTGACAATTAGATTCTGTCTAATCTGAGTTAGCAATACCAATATGATACAACATTTTCTGTCTTTTGTGGAAGGTGTTTCATTTTCCCCTTGAATTTAGTCTCAGACGATCATACTAGAAGTCAGGTAAACACTGTCATTTTAAAATGAAGAATTCATTTAGAAAAATTTTATTAATGTAGAATGCAAACCACATGTTTCCTTGCAGGTTTTCTGTTTTTGGGTATCAGGCTGAAAGCTCCATCCAATCAGAGAAGATTTCATCCACAGATCCATAATGTTGACCTATAGTAATGTTTCAGTCGAACTTGTTTGTTTTACTCACACATAAATGTTGTGATCATCACTAACACGGTCAAAGTAACACTCGCGCTCCACCAGAGACACCTGCAGGGAAGAAAAAAAGGGAATTTTCCAGAACAATAAAACAGATTTTGCCTTGAAGACCTGAAGCTCAAACAAAAGATCCAATTTTTAAGACTCAGGATTCAAGTCACATGTTAACTTTGACGTAACAGGAACACGGAGAATGTGAACTCCAGTTTCAGGATTTCCTAACTGATCACCTGACTTTCTGACTTGCGTGACATGTGTCTCAGCCAATGACATTGAACCAGGCCAGTACGCAGATTACCTGTTTTAATTGATATAAAATACAAATGTAGTTTTACCCAGAGTATAGAGCGGTGAAGATGAAGATGGTGAAGATGAAAAGGAGAAGGGCCTTTATTGTTAACCCTGAAACACAAATACAAACACAACAACCAGAATACTGATTAAATGAAATATCACCTCTTTTTAAATGCATTTTTAAATCAGAATTTCAGTTAGCCTAGACATTGACAACATCTCTTCTGTGTACATATACTTATTTATGTAGTTTTTTACACAGCAGGACTAAAAAAGATAAAAAACATGTTTTGATTTAGGTTGCTATTTTGTATTTTGTTTAGAAGCTTTTAATGATGAAGAACAGCATTAACCCCATCACAGGACACTATTCAAACCAACAACAAAAACATGAGTGAATAACTAAGCGATGGCGCTCACCTGCGGGCTCAGGTGAGGCCTGACAGCAGCAGCTGTTGGTGTAGAAGGGTGACGGAGGCAGGACTTCAGAGAGGCCGCCCAGTGACTGGGTGAACTGCTCCTTTGATTGACAGGTCTCAGAACAAATCTCCTCCTGGATGAGCAGCTTTGGGGACGGGGCAACTTTGTCAGGAAGGGGCGGGATCTCAGTGTGGTCTGGAAAAGACAAAAAAACTGTGTGACTCTTTGGGAAACCTTTAGATGTTTTCACACATGTTGATATCATACTGTTAATCTGTTGCTCCCATAGACTGTATAAAAGAAGTGGAAGTAGTCATCGTGATGTCACCTGTTGGTTTGTGGACTGCTGTTTTGAAGCCTCGAGTTTGGCCGTTAGGGCGCTGCCATGTTGATTTTGTGCAACTATGGGCAACAGACGTGACCATTTTTGGAAGAGACGGTGGAGCCAACGGCTCCATTTGAAGCTAGCTTCCTTGCTTACTTAGGTGCATCTGTAATTCACGTTAACTGGGATGAAACCATGAGCACCAAAAGTCTAAGGATAGTGATAATGATAATGGGATGATAATTTTGTCTAGCAAAAACATGGTTAAAACGAAATGTACTCACCAGAGAAAATGAACAGCCAACTCATAATAAGCCTTTTCAATGGCACTGAGTAAATTTACACAGTGCCATGAGTACAATCACTCTAGCTTGATTGACAGGTCACAGATAGTCCCGCCCTGACGCATATTCTGCTTTATGGTCTATTTTCCTCTAAATGGGACTATCATTTACTAAATGAACATTATGCTGTAATTTGGCAACCAGTGGAGTTGCCCCCTGCTGGTCTTTCAATAGAATGCAGGTTTAAGGGACTTCCACTTTGGCCTCGCTTCTCAGACCGGAAGCTTCCCGCTTGGTCGCTCCATGTTAATGAAAACTACAGATGAAAAATAAACTTCTGGCTAAATCTGGTATATTTACATTGGTCAAATCTGATATGTTCATTAATGTGCACTGTCCCTTTTAAATACATTATAAAAATAAATAAATGAACACTTTCTGTTGTTGCCTCACATTAGAAATGCGAGACTAAACCACTTGGAGGCCTGTGAGGTGGAAGAAGAGATGAAGAGGAGGAGGTTAAAGCATCCTGTATTTTAAGCTAAATTTAAGTGAAAGATCAGAAAATATAGTTTTAATTGAATTGAAAAGGATTAACATGCAACCAACTACAAAGTCCCAGGTTCAAAGGTCAAGAAGGTGCCCCAAATTTCTCCAATCTTAGATAATTTGAGTGAATATCAGCTGATATTGCACTAACTTATTGGCATCAACAGACCAGTTTGAAACCAGCACTAACAGAGCAAATCATCCGTTCTCCTAAAAGAAGTTTTGGTTTTAATTGTGTCTGAGATTTCAGCTCACTCCAACACGATGAAGAAAAAAAAACAGCAGCAAAATATATAATAACAGAACCTTTCTGCTGTAGAAACAGTCCTTATGAGGGCTGCCGGTGGATCTGGAAATTTGGACTGAACTGTGGTGTAATTTGGCTGAACTGAAACCTCCTGTGTTACTCACCATAAGTGAAGCTGAGGCTGTCGTCCAGCTTGGTGCTGTTAAATTCAGACCAGGATGATTCGTCGAACGGGACTAGGCCTTCCTGGCTGCTCCTAGCCCAGTCCTGGACCGTGTCCTGGTCCTGGTCTTGATCCCAGTTCTGGTTTTGGTTCTGTCCTGTTCTGAATACGCCTCTGAAGACTTTCTCATCCAGCCACGACTGGCAGCTCTCTGTCACGTCACTCAGCAGGTTAGCCAGAGAACTGCGGGGCCTCCGTCTGCGCCGGAAAATCCTGAGAAGTCAAAAACACAAGAACAATGATCCTGATGTTCGACTCAGTCATGTTTCTGACTTATTTTAACTGCTATTAATTGTGCTTCTTTCTTTTTACCCTCCTTTCCCCCAGTTTCCCTTATAAACTAATTTTCCCCTCACTAAATCATCATTGAGTGTAATTTATTCTTTATTGATGTGTCCATTAAATAAACGCAATATAAGTTAATTATCTCAAGTTTTTCTAAAAGTTTGTTTTATAAATGAAGAACAGAATAAGGCTGCAATAAACGATTGTTTTCATTATAGATTAATCTGCTTAATACTTTGTTAAATGTACCTTTTTTTTAAATGTATGCCTCTTTGGCACACCAAAAACACAGGCAGGTGGGTTTCAATTGACTAATTTTTGTATAAAATGTCAGAAAATACTGAAAAATGTCCATTAAAAGCAGCCAAAAGCACAGGTGACAGCTTAAAATCCAACGCCCAAAGATAAATAGTTTATTTTATCACATAAAACAAGGAATGGCAGGAGATTTTCTAACAAATAAGAACAAATTAAATTGTTTCACTAACCACTATGTGCTATCGCTCTGGAGGTTGTGGCTCAGATGATTCACACCTTGATTCTTTGATTTACTAAACCTACTAATACACCATAATATCAACATACTACATGTTGATTTGAGCTTTGGGACATGACGCATTATCCTGCTAGAAGTAGCCATCAAAAGATGGGTCCACTGTGGCCATAAAGGGCGTGGTCAGCAACAATACAGGTAGGCTGTCTTGTTTAAACTATGCTCAGTTGGTATTAAGGGGCCCAAAGTGTGCCAAGAAAATATCCCCCACACTATTACTCCACCACCAGCCTGAACTGTTGATCCAAGGCAGGATGGATCCATGCTTTCATGCTGTTTATACCAAATTCTGACGCTACCATCTGAAAAACTTTAATCCCAGTAGATCAGCAGCAGTCTCCTTCAGTTATGTGATAGCTCAAAATTAAATTGCTGATCCAAACACCCAATTATTTATAAATGAAAATCATGGAAATATTCAGGGGTGCCTAAACTTTTGCATACGACTGTATGTGTGTACATTGGTATGTTTGTATATCTGCATGTGTATGTAATGGGTACACGGGGTCTGTACTGGTTCCTTTTAGCTGCCTCTGTTGTGTTGTTTTTGTTTTCTGAGAACTGTGAGATTTCTTGTATAACACTGACATCATTTATATTTGTATGTAGTTAGTTACATTATTAAAATGACAAAGATTTTTAATGAAATATTCAGAGTTTAATACAGACAGTAAACCTGCAGGTTCATCAACAGAACAAAGAAACTCTTCTAATGTTGATGATGAGGTTTCAATAACACGAGGGTCTCCCAGCAACCCTGCCGGTTGACATCACACTCTGGCTCCTGAACACAGCAGATGTCAAACCTGAGTCATATGCAGCTTTTAAACCTGCTCGACATGTGCTGAACCTCTCGCTCTGATTGGCTTCTGAGAATGACCTCATCACTACAAAGAGAGGTGTGCTGTTTTTGTTAAACATCAGAAATGAACAATATTTGTGTGCGGTATTCAGAGATTCTGGATTTTTACATGAGGGAGGAATTTGTAACTAGTTAATTGCACCTTCTTGTAGAAGCAGAGAATTTTTATGTGTCTTAAAACAACAACTGCAGAGAATCATTAACTCTTAAGGCTGATAAAATGGTTGTTCTCTGCCATTGGAAGATTAACATTCTTTTGATCCCTGTAACAAAGTCCTGATTGGCTCAGCTGCTTTTTCAACTAGGAAAAAAGCTGTCAGTGAACACAACACCACACATAATTGAAAATAATCTGAGATACGGGTGCTGATTCAGAGGTCTGGAACCAGACTTTACATTTTGGTAAATTTAAAACTTTACAACAAAAAAATGCTTTCAAAGAACCTCTCTCAGTTTGAGAGCAGAATCTTCCTGCTGGACAGATGAACATAAATGTTTGCTTTAGAAATTAGTGTGCTAGCTCTACCCTTACCATAACCATCAGAAATGTTAGTACCTAAACCTAAGTCACTGACTTTATGTATGTCGTCCGCCTAGCGGTAACTCATAGCTATCCTAATTGATATAAACCTTACTATCTGAACATGCTCATGTGAAGTTCAAGCATAATAAATATTTTAATATATGTTAGAAAAACATTCAAATAAACTTTTAAAACTGTCCTGCCTGTTGAACAGTTTCACTCAGACTTTAAAGAATATTTACAAATAAAGTTTGTAATCAGAACTGTATTGTAAATGTTTTTTAAACTGCACTCACCTGACCAGGTTCTCCTTGTATGACACGTTGGTTTTGCAGGGAGTCAACGACACGTTGCCGTAGTCGTCCCAGGTGAAGCTGTCCTCGGTGACGCTGTAGTATCCGTTGGTGAGGAGGCGCGGAGAGCGGCGGCAGGAGCACGGATCACCGCCATCCACAGATGAGTAACAGACGTACGAGGAATCAGGAGAGAGGAGAGACAGGTCGAGGCTGAGGGAGACACAGACAGGAGGTCAGCATGTATACATACCAGTATAAACCAGTCACTGATCTGGAAGACACTGGGGACGTCAAAAGTCATCCAACACTATCAAACTCATGTCAGCATATACTGCACTTTATTCCCAACATGCTAACACAGGAAATGTTATCATGCTAACATGCTGTCTGCATGTATGTTAAAGTAAAGTTCTGCACAGGCCTTTTGAGACCCAAACCTGTCCAGTACCCACTATATTTTAGCTTTATTTCATTTCTTACTGACTGATAGCTCAACAGACCACACTTTATATACTGAGAACGATTTGCACAGAGAATTGTTGTAATAAACATGATCAGAGCCCGAAGAATTACGTAACATAAGGGCCCCAGCTGGACCCAAACCTGATAATCTGTAAGGTCAGGTAGCAGAACTTTGTTTGAGGAGGTAGATGTTACATGCTAAACATCAGGATGTAAACACCCAACTGTTGTTACCATGCTAACGTGCTGTACTTAGGTTCATCTGTGCTTTGAGCTAACATTTGCATTCAACTTCTATTGCTGCATTTAGGTCATGGTGGAGTTTAAACAATTACCAGTTTCTGAATTGAGTTCACCTCAGTGTCAAAGATGTAATTACAACTGGGAAACTGGATGTAATGTTTTGCCAGTATGCAGTTTTCCAACCCTCACATGACCAATACAGATGTTGAAGTCACTCTCTCTCAGACTAGCTGCAGGTCAGAGTTCAGTCAGATCTGCCCAGAAAAGGAATCTAATGCATTTAGCCTCTTTCTTCATTTAAATGAGATGAGAGGATTTGTTGTGTGACGGCCTTAAATCTGCACAAAGCAGCGGCGGCTCATTTTTTATTGCTATGAAAACAAACCAGCATTTACTGATTTACCCAACACCTCTGTGGCAAGAAGCAGATGTTCTTACCTCTGAAAGGAGTGATTGGCCCGCAGCCTTCGTTTTATTGGTGAACCTGAACAACAGATAAGATCATGGGAGTCAACAAACAGGTGAAAACCTACACACACGTACGAAACATGTCTGTCCTAGGTTGTTCTGTAAAGCCGAGTCTGTTTCTAAATAAAGACTTTTATCAGTATGAAGAGCTGGAGAACATTCCTGAGGTCTGCCTGGGAAACCACTTGAGTAAAAGTACTCTTCTGAACAGAGGTGATGTGATGCTAATAAATACTCTGCAGGAATGTGACAGCCAGTGATGTTGTTTTACAGATTGAAATTTAAATAAATTTTTTCAGGTTGTTTAAAAAGTTGTGGCATCAGCCAATGTCAACCTTTCCAGAGCTTTCAACTGCATCTCACTGTCTTCCACTGCGAATGGAATGGGCTTTTTGCCTGTAGTGGGACAACGGTGTGGTTTTGTGCATTTTATATTAAATAAATTTGGAGCTACTCCAAATTCCTCTTTTCCTCTCCTAGAGAGGAGCAGGGGGGTTAAAGATCAACTTTCAATAGACTGCTGAAGAGACCCCAACGGAAGGGGGTTGGGAAAGTTGGTTTCTCTAAGTGCTATCCCTGACCATAAAACTGGCACCTTTTTGATTCCGAAGCTGATAACGCAGTGACTGATTGTTAAACTGACAAAAGGGACACGAACCAGCGATTAGCATTTCCCTGAACAGCCTATCAAAACTGCCCCCCCCCCCCACACACACACATGTAACCGTGGCAACTGTAATGGGTCTGTTTCATTATCCCATCAAAGGGATACTCCTTCTCTCACCCACTTGTGACATAACCCAGGAAGCCGAACTTTAAATAACCAAAGACTGCAGTCTCCAAAAACTCAAATCATTTAATTAAGTTTAATGAAATCTTTTAGTTACTTGATTACGTTTGCCTCTATTTGAGTAGTTATGTTAACATGTTGTTGCTATCTGTTGCTGATATTAGTGCTGAAAAGAATCTTAATAAGTTACTTTTGCAGCGGCAACGAAGGAAACCTGAAAACAGCCGAGTTGCCAGACGGAGGAGGCGTTTTCTTCAGTCAGACACAGAGAACCCCGGAGAATCTCTAGCAAAAAGCCAGGATCGGGCAGCTAGCGTGGGACCAGCAACAGGCCAAAGCAGGCTGTCGACAAGCCGTAAGACCTAATAAACATTCTGTAGTCAGGGATGTCCCGTAATGTTAATATTTCCTTTTAACTCCTAAACTCATAGCTTACTTTCATTAGTTCTCCTCTGCCGTATGAGTCAAATGCTTCCCACAATTGAACCTCCATTTCTCATTGTTCAGCCATTGTTTATTTTCCCTTTATTTAACCACCCTTTTATATCGCATTAGTTAGAGAATAAATTCACTGTAATATAATCAAGAGCTGTGTGTGTTGCCTATTTCCACGTCCCTGCCAAGAGAATTGACCCTTTAGATATGAGACTGACTGATTTAAGATAATTGAGCGATTATTAACTAACTGATCACTAGTAATAATTGTATAATTATTAAAAGCTACCTAGAGGTCCAGAGACTCTAGGATTATAACAACTCCGGTGGTGCCCTGAAACGAGGAATATTTTTTTGATTTTATGAATTATTAAAATTCATAATTGGGTATTAATTCTCATACAATTAATTAAAATTCATAACTAATTTAGCCATGCTACTTGCCTATGTGTTGAGGAAGTGGACTTTGAGAGAAGATTTGTTTTGTCTAAAAAAGCATTCATCAGTGTAGGGCTGACCCCAAACAGTCGAAGAATCGAAGTTTTGATGGGCAGAGCCTGATTCGACTGTCAATCTCACAGTCAAAGCTCCGCAGTGAAACAAGGATCATGCCATTTGGCGATATAGGGGTGATCAACGTCTGATTTTACATAGAACTACCAGTTTTCTCCCAATAAGTAAATATACACCCTATTACAATCTATATTTCAACAGATAAATAACCATACGGGTCGATTGTTAAAGCAGGTCATTACAATCCCTTTTTTATGTTTATTGTTAGGCCCAGCCTCTAGTGGCCGTATGACGGCAGCAAAGGTCGTTTTGCTGCCTAAACCTAACCAAAACCACATGCAACATCACGTGACTTACGTTATGATGCACCTGTTGCTGGACCGGTACTTTCCAACGGTCATATAGTATACTGTATGTCCATTAGGGAAAGGGTCATATACGTCGTTTTGGGAGTCACTGACAATTGGCCAATTCTGCCGTTTAGGTACGAGGACATGTTGAAATATAAGGTTCTGAAAAGGACTGTGTTGGTCTTGGGTTTTACAGCTTCTTGAAAATCTCGAATTATATGTTGATCAATGCAGGATCAGTGCATCTGTGCACAAAATGACTTTTCTGCATTGGCTCCCCGTCTTTTTCTTTGTGTTACTATTGACCAGTTTGGGAAGTCTACTTTTCCAGAATTCATGTATTTGGATACGGCATGATGTTGAAATTGTGCAACACAGTTTAAGAGTTTGTGAGGAGTATGCAGACACCCTGCTTCGATCTAAAAAATGTATCCACCCACCTAGTGTATATAATTTTATCATTTTTGTGTATAATGTTTACTTTGTGTGAGTAGCTTAAAGGGAACAAAATGTCATCTCATTATAAAACCCTATGCTGTAAAATGACAAATAAATCAACCTTGTAACCCTGTATTTTGTATTTTTATGCAATGACGTACTTGTAACGGCCCCGGAGAAGAACAGGGCCATGTTTGTCTGCAGCCGAGCTTCTTCTGTCAATCTGTGAAAGATATCAGAAACCCAACACCAGCAGTGAAAAGCATGCAGCCATTTTTGTTATTGTCAACAAAACTCATGTTCGAGTTTGTCTCTATTTCTATTCTTATGTTTTATGTGTCTTATGTGCTATACAAACAAACTTGCCTTGCCTTTGAAAGGGCTCGGTAATTTCCTAGAACAGCTGCTCGTTGTAGTCTCTATCAACAAACAGGAGAAAATAGTGCATTTGTAGGGGACTATTTCCAGCGGCAGATGAATCCTCTTGTGGTGCTCTACTAAGTATTTGGGGCAGGAGGACGGTGTATGTGGGACTGAGTCAAACTAAACAGTGTGTGTGTTGATGGTGATGAAGGAACATGTCACCCAGTGCAGCAGTGAGGAGAGGAAGAGGAGAAATCAGGCTACCTGTTAGCAGGATACATTTCAATGTTGTTTGGAGTCAAGAAGAAAAATACAGAATAAAGGTCACCAGGCAGGAGAGAGAAAGGAGAGCAGTCTGTTCTTTTAGAGGCATAAATTAAAAAAAAGCTGTTCAGAGATCTGCCCTCCTCCCTGATCTGCTCTAGTAACTAGTAACTTCTTAAAGCTCCATCAGTTCTGTTAATCCCCGCAGAGGTGATCAGAGGAGTTCTCCTCTCCAGCCTGAGCATTCAGGGGATTAACTAAATTAAGACTCTCCAAGTTAATATAAATCAGACTACAAAATTAGTGCAGGATATTTATAATGTTTTTTAAGCCTAACCTTAAAGCGTGTTCCCGCTCAGAGCTCGTTGTGGCCTTCAGTATTCCGCAGTGTTTTGTGTTCTGGTTCTGTCACATCCTGCAGCTGCCTGAGAAAAAATGCAGAAGAAAAGAAAACAGAGAAAACAAAGGGGCTGTGATTCTGAGCTCATGTTTCCTGTTAACTCCTTCTCTGCAGAGAGGAACTGTAACTCTGCCAGTCCCAGTGAAAACCCTGAAGGCTCAGTTTGAGACAGTGGCGAGTGAAGTCACATGTTGTTTCCTGTGACTTCATGTGGACAAGAAACCAGATAATGGTGAGACATCAGAGGCCTGAACCACGAAGGGAGATTAGTGGGTTAACCAGCTCTCTTTAAGTTTTACTGTGGTTATTATTTCTGGTTAATTTAAGAGATTACAAAATCTGTCACATAAATACGGTTTACTTTTACTTTTTATTTTCTGAATATCTGTGTTCTTTCTGAGCTTGATCGCCTGCAGTCAAAGATCTGACAACACTCTGCTGTCTATTGGTCTGTTCTGGTGAATAAATGAACAGATGAACTGGGTCAGCGACAGTTAGTGGGCCGCAAACAGAGACTCTGATGTTGTGTGTATGCGTGTGTGTGTGTGTGTGTGTGTGTGTGTGTGTGTGTGTGTGTGCGTATGGGCGGGGGGGTGGGGGTGTTATCGCTCATCGCCCTGTTTCAACTGAAAAATGCTCCTCATGATTTAAAACAACACTAACAGTTTAGAGGCCAGCTGGTGATTTAGTTATTAGTGCAGTCAGAGGCTCTAGAGGAAAGGTTATGGAGCGGACTCCAGAGTTCTTCCTCGGGAGAATGAGATATGTTTTGATTATTATATTTATTTTATTTTTTTAACACACACACACACGCTTACTGTTTTGTTTATGTATTTTATTTAAATTTTTAAATTTTTTATTTTATTTTTTTAACACAAACACACATACGCTTTGATTACTTTACGTTTAATGAAGTGTATGAGGTTGATTGTTCTTATGTAGTATGTATGATGCTTTGGCAATATTGTTGTTACACATTCATGCCAATAAAGCTATTTTGAATTGAATTGAATTTAATTGATAAAGACACTTTGTGACAATCTGACTTCGATATTATTTGCGTAAAAAGGTTAATTTTAACCAAACATACAGTATATTAGCATTCAAGGTCAATATTTATATGACATATTTATTTTCATGGAGGACATTTTGCAGTTTTGGAATTTTCCAGGACTTGTCTACAACTCAAGTCAAAGTCAAAAAATCCATGGTGTACATTTCTTCAAGTACTGTACCTAAGTACATATTTGAGGTATGTGTACTTTACTATGTAGATTTTATTCTATTTCACTACATCTCAGAGGGAAATATTTTACTTTATACTGCACACTGATGTCTTGTTATAGAAAAACTACTCAACAGTATAATAAAGTTGCTAAAAGTAGCTTCCCTTTACATGTTAATGCATCACTAATGATATGATACAGTCTGCTGCCAACATTTCTGTACTTGTGTATTTTGATTGCAGAACTTTTAGTTGAGTATGCGTGTGAGCCCTGTAGTGAGATACCTCTCATATCTGAGTGGACTTTAAAATACTAGCAACAGTCAAAGCCTCTCCTTCTTTTAATAAGAAAAAATCTCTTCCACACATTGAGGCCACTTTCAGAGTGCAGCATTGCCTGTGTTTGAAGGAGGATAACAAACAATGTGCCTGTAAACTGAAGTTCCTCTTCGCTGTTCAGGACAGGTTTGTATGACAATAACTACCCTGCAGAATTATGAAGAACAAGCAAAGAAACCAGAGCTTTGTGTTCATTAATAAAACAGAGTAGAGACTTGGTTTGGTGGCATCCAGACTATTAATCCTAGTTGAGAATCTGTAAACAGAGACTGGCTGGAAAACCGCAGTTGCAACCTTTCAATATGTTGTAAACTATATTATGTTCAGTCTCACAATCTTGAGTTTTAGTTGTTATCATCAAATATATACTGCCTGCTTTTTGTGTTTTCTACATGCATGACCTTCAGAAACAGTAAAAAAAAGCTTAAAGATTTGAATTTAAATAATGTGTAAGTTTACGGAAAATTTCCAAACTTCACAATATAATGAAAAAAGATGGTTATTTTGGTTAACAATAATAAAACATCCAAACTCTATAATATATTGGGTAATACTCAGTGAGGTTAAAATATGAGATTTTTAATTATAACCCTAAAACAAAACTGATATTTGATATTTCCCAACTATTTAACCTCAGTACCTTCCATGCTTTATAGTGGCATGTCTTAAATTATTTAATTTCCCCACATTTGTCTCATTTTGGACTCTTCCCAGCCTGTGTTTCCCAGCATCCATTGCAGCAGCAGCAGTCTGTTTCTGTTGGAGCTGCTGATGCTGGAGGAAAATGCGTAGCAGGAAACACAAAAATGGATCAAACCATTTCACCATCCCCAACACACAGCCACAGGAGTACCCTGCCTGCAGGGTCTCTGTAGGTCTTTTAAAATATTTTTACAGGAGCTTCCAGCAGGTTTAAGATTCACAGAATTGAATTCTTACAGCACTTATTGTCAAATGAGTTGTTAAAAATTTTGTATTATACTTTTATTATTGCTTTAGTGCCACTTATTGTATGTGGGCTGCTAATTTTGAGTTCACAGAGTCCTCACTGTTCTAATAATATTATTATTATTGCATTATAATTTTAATAATAGCCCTATAATATAATATCCTACATAGTGTTTATGCTGCTCTGCTCAGAAAATAATTTATAAAGTTTTCTTTCGTGTTTTAAAGAATCCTTTATTATTTACAACAATATTACTCTAATTCCTCATATTGCGTTTTTTCACCCTCACTAAGTTATTAGACTAACTATTCTATTCTATATTACTCACAGTGTCTTAAATTGTGCGTATTGTGGCTTCACGCTATTTTTAGCAGCAACATTCCTATAATATTTCCAAGATAAAGTCTGGTATGTCTTTTGGTATCGTCCTGCAATTATAATTATAATATGTAATGCACCTAAGGAAACTGATAAAGATTGCATCTGTCATAATGCAGATAAAGGAAGAAACTTCACTATTAATAACCAAATAACTGGAAAGAAAATGTCTTTGCATGAAATCAAATTGGGTTTAAAATAATGTTAGTTACTTAAAAAGGTCCAGAACGCTATTCGTTGTATATATACAGTATATGTGTAACGTTACGTTGATCTCAGCAGATTCTTCTGTGTAAATCCAGACAAAGAATAACGGGACTGAACTCACCGGTTTGTTTTCCTCCAGGTTTCTCTGCCGCAAGTGAAGAAAAGTCTTCTTCTGGCTGAGGGATTTAACTGTCTGTACTCTTCTTCTTTTTCCCCTTTTTCCACTTTTCTTTTAAAATCTTCAATTTGTCTTCGGGTGAATAAAAACACACCGAAGATCCGAGTCTCAGAGCTCCGCAGCTGTCACTTAGCCTCGCCCACACAAAGGAAACACCACCGGCTGACAAGTTAAAACACACAACAGCAGTTACAATACAGGTTCTGGTCAGGATTTTCAAAGTAAAGGCATATCGCTATTTCAAAAAGCACACTTTTGAAGATAAGAATACTAAACTGTGTTTATCAGTTTGGAAGAAGTAGGCCTATTCATCATTTATTAGTAAATGTAGCAATACTAGAAGTAAAAGTCCTGCATTCAAAAGTATTAACATCAAAATGTATTTAAAGTAGACTACCAAAAGTACTCATTATGCAGAATGTCCCATTTCATATTAATGAACATTGTACCGTATTACTGAATTGTAATCATTGACAGATTAATGTGTTCATCACTTTAGTGTTGCAGCTAGTAAAGGTGAAGATCATCTTAATCACTTTATATACTGCTAAATTCATAATAATATAATATATTTTATTTGTTTACAATATTTCATATTAACAGTCTCATGCTGTATATTAACTCATAATAAAATAAATCAAATAAATGTACTGGAACAAAAATTAAAATGTTTCCCTCTGAAACATGGCGGAGTAAACATATAAAAGAACACTGAATGTAAAGCAAAGTCCAAGTACCTCAAAACTCCAGGCCTGAAACCACCACCACAGCTCCACATCCAGACCCGACAGCTGAGTCTGAACAAACACACACAGGCAGAAGGGCTGACATTATCCTCCTCATGGACTCTAATGGAAAGTTCCTGGATGAAAAGACCTTATTCCCAAGGCACAAAATGGAGAAGATCTGGTGCCCCAACACCAGGAGAGCCCTGGAGCTGTTAACAGTGCCTGAGCTAGGCTCACCCAGCCACATCATCATCCATACAGGCACCAACAACTTAAGGTCCCAGCAGGACAGACTGGCAGACTCTGAGGAGAGTCATTGAGCAAGCCTCCACCAATTTCCCTACCAGCAAGATAGTCATGTCCACGCTGCTGCACAGGAGAGATTTCCACCCCCACACCATTCACAGAGTGAATATCAGTCTCTCCAGGGACTGTGCCCTCAAACCCAACGTGTTCTTGGTCCGCCACCCGACCCTGCACCTGGACTGCCTGTATGATAACATACACCTGCACAGAAATGCAGTCCCCACCCTTGCTAGGACCCTGAAGGATGTTGTTCTTGGAAGGACCCCACTCCAAGGGGTAACCACACAATGCAGACCTCCAGGACCTCCTAGACCTTCAAGACCATCCAGACCATCTAGACCTCCACCATACATCCACCCACGGCCGTCAGAGAGGACGGCCAGGCCACCAAACCCACCGCATCACCAACATCACAACCCACAGCCAACACAACACTGGCCACTGATACCCAGCCAGAGAGCCCCCCAGCCTGGAGGTCCTGTACCCCCCCTCATCCCAATGGCAGAACCAAGACTACAGGAGCAGCATTCATCCTATTGGACTGAATTATGCTGCAGCGGTGAGAAGAGCCACAGCCCCGCCCCCCTCTGGTGAACTCAAAAACATATTACACATGCTAAACCTGCTCTGCTCTCGCCTCATATAGCTACATGGTGCAAGAGCAGAGACCTCTTAAAGACATCACAATAATTCATAGTTTAGCATGTTGGATATCATTTTAAATGAATAGTAATATAAGGAGAATTCTTAACAGTATTTCACACATGATACACTCTAAAATGTCACTCACACTTTTTTTTCTTTTCGTTTGTTACTAGTATTATTTTTTAATATCTAGTTTACTATTATTATTATTTGTTTTTTAAGGTGTTTGTCTAATTTTTGAACAGATTACACTTGGAGATGAAATCGTTTACAATAACATGTTGGAACATTCAAGGTCTGAGATCATCAGCTTTTGGTTTAAAGAGCAGAAATTCAGATTTTAATAGCGAGATAATAGACTCTGACATCATAGTTTTACAGGATGGTGCAGAGAAGATGTTTCCACTGGTCGTCCTCACGGCTACACTGACATTATTATACCATCAACAAAAAATCCCACAATAACCCAAGGCAGAGATTCAGGAGGCCTGATTATATGGTGTAAATCAGAACTGAGCCAGTTCATCACAGTTATTAAAAAAGGAGAATCTTATATACAGTTGAAAATTAACAGATGACAACATGTCTACATGTGTGTCATCTATATACCTCCACCAGAACCCCCCTACTACAACCCAGATATTTTCTCTATTCTTGAGGAGGAAGTTAACCATTATAAAACCATGGGAAATGTATTAATCTGTGGGGACTCGAACGCTCAAACAGGGGAAAGAGCTGACACTATGAACACCCAGGGAGACAAACACTTACCTGGAAGCACCTGCTTCCCCCTCCCTGAATGCTCATCGCTGCTCTGCCGAGCTGCAGAGCAACGTTACTACACACACACACACACACACACACAACACACACCGACACACAGACATGGTGAAGGAAGATTGATTCAGCGTAGTGAGCATGGTAGTGAGTGATACTGTAAGTTGTTGTTAGTGACTGTTACTTGCTGAACTTAAGCTACCTTAACCTGAGATAAAGGAAAGGGGATATTTAGTTGGCCATGGAAAACACTAGTGTTGGTAGAGTGAACGCCATTAATATTACCTATCTCTAGTAGCCTATTTCAAAACAATATAAGTCCCCGTAGAATGTTGTTGTCAGTGAAAACTAAATGTCATAATGTCATAATTTCATGTAATACTGTTGTAGAGAGAGAGTATGTAATGTGTTGGAGAGAGAGAGAGAAGTGGGAGATTGGGGGAGCTGATTCTGAAGTCAGTAGTATTCTACAGGTCAGTCTGTGGTCTACAGGTCCAAGGAAATATAGGCTGTTTTGTTTTCTTCTAACAACAGACATTTTCTTCTGCATTCATTGGCTGTAATAAATTAAATAAATATGTAGATGTTGCCTAATTAAATTAAATTAAAGTAACCATACAAAAATTTTATCCATATATATACGTAGTAATCATTACTCCAAATATTTTATTCATTCCACCATCAGGTTATTAAATTCAGACAGTAGTCACTTTAAATAGGATCCTTATCAACAACTTTTGAATGTTTGTTTGTATGCAAACCAAACTACAGAGCAAAAAAACACTCTGATTGAACCAATCCACAGTGCAGTAACAGTAATTAGTGTAATTAAATAGCATCCTTTGAATCTGCAACTTATCTAAAAGACAGGGGAATTCGACTTTACTTTATCACACATTTACATGAGCGGCTGGGTAGCATTTAAGTCACAGACTACAGAAGAACTCAGTGTGGCCTAAGTGAATTCCCCCCATTTAGCGTTGATGTGTCTAAAAGCTAACATTACATGGGCGTCGGAACCATTGTAGAGGAGAGCAATGTTATTGGACCCACTCACTTTTACTGTCTGAAATTCAGCGCATCTGTTTGTTCACCTTTCAGAGCATCGTCAATCAAATCCATTCCACTTGAAGAATGCTCTAATAAATTACCGTTAACTCCATTCTACAGCCTTCACTTTCACTCTGCTGCTTCTTCAAATCCATTCCACTTGTCTCATTTAGAGTCCATATAAGTTAAACTCCATTCCTTGTTTTCACTGCTCGTGGCTACTGCACAGCAAGGTAAACGAAGAATTTTAGGATACCTGCTGCTCAGGTGTGTCTTTGTGCTCACATACTGTCACAAAAAAGTTGCTTTTTAAGTGAATGTTCATCATTTGTTCACCTATCGATCAAACCAGATGAAACTCATCAGTTAGCTAAACATCAAATGTGCCTTCAGGATGTTAAAACCTGGATGTAATTTTCTAATGTTAAACTCGCATTAACGCATTATCTAAAGATATAGTTTCCCTTGATGGCATCGCCCTGGCCTCCAGCACCACTGTGAGGAATCTTGGAGTTGTCTTTGATCAGTACATGTCGTTTAAGGCGGCCCTTGAAATTTGCTTAATGTGAGAACATTAAGCAAAAACCAGGAACATCCTGTCTAAAAATGATGCAGAAAAACTAGACCATGCATTTGTTACTTCTAGGCTGGATTACTGCAATTCTTTATTATCAGGCTGCTCGAAAAAGTCCATTAAGACTCTTCAGCTGATCCAGAATGCTGCAGCACGTGTTCTGACAGGAACCAGGAAAAGAGATCATATTTCTCCTGTTTTAGCTTCTTTGCATTGGCTTCCTGTAAAATCCAGAATAGAATTTAAAATCATTCTTCTTAGCTGCAAAGCTCTTAATGGTCAGGCACCATCTTATCTTAAAGAGCTCATAGTACCTTACTACCCCACCAGAGCACTGCGCTCCCAGAATGCACCTGTGGTTCCTAGAGTCTCCAAAAGTAGACTAGGAGCCAGAGCGTTCAGCTATCAAGCTCCTCTCCTGTGGAACCAGGTTCCAGTTTGGGTTCAGGAGGCAGACACCATCTCCACATTTAAGAGTAGGTTTAAGACTTTCCTCTTTGATAAAGCTTATAGTTAGGGCTGGCTCAGGTGAGTCCTGAACCATCCCTTAGTTATGCTGCTATAGGCTAGACTGCTGGGGGATTTCCTATGATGCACTGAGCTCCTCTCTCCTCTACTTTCTCTCCCTCTGTATGCAACCTTATCCCATTATTGCATGTTACTAACACAACTTCTCCCCTTTCCGGTAGTCTTGTGCTTTCTCGTCCTCTCCTCTCTCCTCCTATCACTTCCTGCAGGTGTTTCTGGCTCTGGAGCTGTGAGTCTGGATCTGTGGTGCGGGTCACCTGCTGCCCCCGTGTTCCTGCTCGACACCCTCTGCTACAACGACTATTGTTACTAGTCCTATTGTTATTATTGTTATTATAATCATTAACATTACGATTGTTACCATTAACACTACTATAAATATCTGTACCATTTTTCATTTAGTCTATAGCAACATCACCTTCACTGTCTGTACCTCTGTGTGTATATTGTGTAGGCTGCCTCCCTCCCCTCTCTCTTTCCTTCCATCCCTCTCTTTTTCTCTCTGTTCCTCTCCTGCCCTCTCTCTCTCGCTCTCTCTCTCTCTCTCTCTCCTTCACCCCCAACCGGTCGAGGCAGATGGCCGCCCACCCTGAGCCATGGTTCTGCTCGAGGTTTCTGCCTCTTAAAGGAAGTTTTTCCTTGCCTCTGTCGCCTAGTGCTTGCTCTTGGTGGGAACTGTTGGGCTTCTGTAAATAGCATCATAGAGTATGGTCTAGACCTGCTCTTTTATGAAAAGCGCTGTGAGATAACTGTTGTTGTGATTTGGCGCTATATAAATAAAATTGAAGAAATTGAGAAAAATTGAGAAATTGGTGCAGAAATATTCACCAGAATGCAGGAAATTAAGTGTTTATTGCTCAAAATTTTCAGGGGGAAGGCCTCAAGACACAAACCTGAAATTTGAATTCAGGAATCATGATAGAGACTATTGTTATTGTATACAAAACACAACGAAATGCAGTTTGGAGCAAAACAATGAACCAAGCAGCTATAAAATAGCATATAAGCAATAAGCAATGAGGATTTCTATAAAATAGTGTTAAAGAACATCACATCTTGTTCTCTTTATATATATAGGCTATATATATATATATATAAAAAAACTCCTGGAGAAGGACTGTGGTGTCCGAACGATAATGCTGCGATGATGTGTTGAGAAGAAATCCGCTTGACACTGTTCTTGATTATAAAAGTTTATTACATCAAAGAATTCAGCATCAATTACAAGCTCTGCAGCAGCTTGGAGAGTGACCCAGCCCGATGGCCACTCTGTCTCTCTGTACATTGAACACAGCTTATATAGGACATGTTTAGGTCTCTGCTAAAAACCATATAAGGGCAAAGTCCCTTCATAGACACTAATCACTACTCCCCCTACCACTGGGTCAGAGGTCAAATTCCATAGAAGGGTTCACTCTTTGCACACCCATCAATCATTACTTCCCCTTAAGGGTTCACTGTCCCTCTCTCCAGCTGCAGAGTATTATGTTAAACTGTAATGGTCAAATGCACATATGTTATACACCACAGGACCCACCCACATTTGTCGTTTGTTGACGCCCATGTAACACAGTAACTTGGCTTCTTCACTGGTTGTTGACATAACTGTAGTTATAATACAGTAACAGTCTAAGTAAGTAAAAGGTGCGAGTGCAGAGATTTCTCAAGCACAAGTTATGCATACCCCGTCTTTCAATCCTAGTGACGTCCCTGAGCGCCACCTAAAAAAAACTCAAACATTTACACAGCAACTAATGAGAAGATGCCAAAGTACCACCCATAATGTTTGATTGACAGGTGACCTCTGTGCAGTGAAGAAATGCCACAATCAGCTCTCAGCAACAAACATGACGACAAATTAAGTTTAAGGATTAAAACAGAGAATTTAACCTACTTTCCCTCAAATAACTTCTGACTATCTGAGTTCACAAAACTCAGCAGTGTCTCCAAAATCTAAAATTCGAAGTCCAGCATAGAGAGGCTGAGTGAATGTGGTCTGGACTCTGTGGAGGATAGTCATGGTTTCAGAGACGCTGTAGAAGGACAGAATACCTGCTCTGTGATCCAGGTACACTCCTACTGTGGGGGACCAAGGACCTGAGACGGGAGTTTGGACTTCGTTGTACAAGATGTTATAGCCGTTTTTGTCACACCTTAATGTCCAAGATTTGTCATTTTGTCCAAATTCACATTCAATGGCTCCCCCTTCTCGCTTGATATTCTTGTATGCAACTGCTACATAAACCCCTCTCCCTCTCCACTCCACCTCCCAGTAACAACGTCCAGTCAGACTCTCTTTACTCAGGACCTGACAACATCTAGTGAATCTGTCTGGGTGACTAGAATAACACTGTGCTTCTCTCATTCCTGTTGCCTTTCTGTTCCCCTCAGATAACAACAGTTTTGTGTAAGCTGTGTTTGGATCCAGTGTGATTTCACGTGAATATTTTAAGAATCCAGCTCTGGTCTTGGGCTCTGGTTGTAAATGTGGCAATAAAACATCCACTTCAGTCACTGTCAGTGAGACGTTTGTCCATTTTTTACTCAGAATGTCCTGTAGTTTATCTCTGACTTCTGACACAGCCGCTGTCACATCCTCAAAGTAGCGCAGAGGACGTTTCTTGATGCTGGATGAGTCTGTAGATTCACTGAGTGATGACAGTGAGGGGTAGTTGTGTAGAAACTGGTTGTGATCCTCTGTGTGTGAGAGCTGTTTCAGCTCAGCGTCTTTCCTCTTCAGCTCAGTGATCTCCTGCTCCAGCTTCTCCTGAAGCTCTTTGACTCGACTCACTTCAGTTTCCTGCTGGGATCTGACCTGCTGCTTCACATCAGAGCGTCTTTTCTCCATCAGACGGATCAGCTCGGTGAAGATCTTCTCACTGTCCTCCACTGCTTTATCAGCAGAGCCATTGATAGCCTCCACCTCCTGCTGAAGCACCTTCACATCTTTCTCTCTGTCCTGGATTCTCTGCTGGATGTTTTGTCGACTCACCTCGAGCTCTCTCTGCCTCTCAGTCCTTTCTGCTGCAGCTGAGACTGTGTCGTGGCCTTTATGTTCATCCACAGAGCAGAGATAACAGATACTCTGCTGATCAGTACGGCAGAACATCTTCATCACCTCATCATGACGAGAGCAGATGTTCTCCTGGAGCTTCTTGGAGGGCTCCACCAGCTTGTGTTTCTTTAACGGAGCTACCTCATCATGACGCTGGAGGTGTTTCTCACAGTAAGAAGCCAGACATACCAGACAGGACTTGAGGGCTTTCAGTTTTCTCCCAGTGCAGACATCACAGGCCACATCTTCAGGTCCAGCATAGCAGTGATCAGCAGGAGCAGCTTGGAGTCCAGTCTTCTTCAGTTCCTCCACTAAATCTGCTAACATGGTGCTTTTCACCAGGACAGGCCTCGGTGTGAAGGTCTGCCTACACTGAGGACAGCTGTGGATTTTCTTCTCATCCTGTTCATCCCAGAAGCGTTTAATACAGTTCATGCAGTAGCTGTGTCCACAGGGAGTAGTCACCGGATCCTTCAGTAGATCCAGACAGATGGAACAAGAGAAGGTTTCCTGGTCCAGCTGAACTCCTTTCTGCGCCATTTCACCTCTCAGTGGCAATGACTGTCTGAGTTTCACTTCCTTAGAAGTGAAACTACATAGAGCTCTGATCCAAACAGCATGTGTTTCTGCAGCGAATGGGTTCTGTCAGTTCCTGCACTTTACCACATGTTGGTCACACCCATCTTCAAACTGTAGATCTGAAGGGGAGGGAACAAGGAAGTGTATGGACGAAGAAGGAGGGGTAAACAAACTAATAAACTGGTAATTCATTTCAAGAAGAAGAGCAGCTCTATGGATTTGAATCTTGTTTCTTCATTTACTATGAGCCTCAGTTAAAACTGCTACCCTAAGTTTTTAGTTGTAAAATAATTCTTCAGGCTCCTCAGGCTTTGCTGATGGCTCCAAATTTATCCAACTCTTCTATAACTTCTGTTCAGTTTTCTTTTACTGGTTAAAACCATTTGATTGACAATAATCAAACTAAAGTGTCAAAAAATATTTAAACTGCTGTATAATCATGTTCTCACTGCTTGTTAATGTAAATAAAGGAAGGCAAACCAAAGTCATCCCTAGTTAACAGGATGAAGGCGCCCTCTTGTGTTGTGTTGTGTTTCCACATTTCAATTATTAACCTGCTGTGATGTTCACTGCAGGAAGTCATTGAAAAACTTCACTGACTCCTGAGCAGTTTCAAACAACATCAGTAAAAACAAGTTTAAATATATGTAATATTACACTATGTCAGTTTGTTGTGAATAGTATGTGGTAATGTAGCTTAAAATAAATGTGGTAATGTAGGTTGAATTCTGGTTAAACAACATGGAAATACTTGTAAAGGAACAACATAAATCTCCAACCATAAATTATTGTCATGATGATCAAAAATGATGTGGGGAATATTCTTTATTCATATTATTGATATGAAGAGAATCTTTTTAATCATTATGGAACTTCAAGTTCAGCCATCAGACCTTGGGGCAACTGGACTTGGTTCAAGATATTCAAAGATGTTTTGCCTCTCATCCGAGAGGCTTCTTTAGTTCTGACTGACAGGCAGGGAATCCAAGCTATTAATCCTAAGCACTTTTCTTACCATGAATCTCCCAAATAAACGCTGCCATAAATACAAACCTGCTCGCCCAAACCAGCCCGACCCTTGGCTAACTGGTACCATCCATAGATCTCAGAGCCACTGAAAGAAAATGGTGAAAAACCGGAGACCCTGCTGACCTTGAGGGCTACCAAATGCTCCTATCCTCCTTCTCAACCAGTCATTGTGGAATGCAGTGCTGCTAAAACTGCATTCCATAATGACAGAATTGGCTCAGGAGGTAGAGCAGGTTGGCCGTTAATCAGAAGGTCGGCAGTTCAATCTCGGCTCCCCCAGGCTGCATGTTGAAGTGTCCTTGGGCAAGATGCTGAACCCCGAATTGTCCCTGGCGGCTGTTCCACCAGTGTATGGCCAATGGTGAATGCAGATGTAGTGTAAAAGCGCCTTGAGTGGTCGAAAAGACTAGAAAGGCGCTATACAAATACAGAGCATTTACAGAATTAGCAGTGCCACTGACTCAGGCAAATTATTTTCCACTTTTAAAGTGCTACTAAATCCTCCTCTACCTCCACCACCCACAAACCTGTCCCTACACACAAAGCAATCTCTGTCCCAGCTGTTCTCATCTGTGACACCCAGTGTTGGGGTAGTTACTCAAAAAAGGTAATGGATTACACATTACTAGTTACTTTTTTTAAAGTACTTTACTAGATCACTCACTGTTGAAAGTAACTAGTTACACTATTAGTTACTTTTTGGATTGCTGCGTAACATAATCTGTGATGCACAATAATAATAAAGATAAACCTCATATATGCCCAGATCAACACAAATCCTTATTATGAGGACATACACAGAATCTCTCTTTTATGTTCTTTAATTCTACAAAGCTAACAACAAAGTCGTGAACATCAGCCAAACATTTGTCAAGAGAAGAACAAGGCTAGGTGAGTACAGTAGCCTACCATAATGCTTAAAACGTTTTTGGACATTTCATTGGAAACATTTATTTCTGTTCTCCGTGAGAGGGAAAAATTTAGAAACTTGCGTGGAGACCCCAGCTGCAGTAGTCCATGGATCATGCGTAATATTCATCCAGCCAGAGGGAACAATCAGGAACCGTTCATAGCATGTCGGTCATATAGCAAAACAACCCGTACTGGAGAGGGAGTGGGACGGTGGAGCGTACAGGGCCAGGAATTTGCATTTGATTTGCATCTGGGGTGAATGTAAACAGCAGCAACCAGATGATAATATGAGTTTCATCTTCACTTCCAACATCTGGGAAACAGAGTCCATCCTGACTGCAGCTGTGCACTAAGCATCATCAACAGTCCACTTCCTCTCATCTTGCCAGAGTACAGAGTCCAGTGCTTGATCCGCTCTGATGCAAAGACTCTAATTCACGCCTTTATCAATTCAAATTAGCTTTATGGGCATGTATGTGTAACAACAATATTGCCAAAGCATCATACAAACTACATAAGAACAATCAACTCCATACATTTCATTAAACAAGTAATTAAAGCGTATGTGTGTTTGTGTGTGTGTTTTATTAAAAATTAAAAAACATTTTTTTTATTATAAAATTAAAATATATTAAAAATTAAAATAAATTATATAAATAAAACAGTAAGTGTGTGTCTGTCAAAAAAATAAAAATATAAAAAAATGTAATAAAATAAATAGATAATACCGTAAATGTGTATGTGTGTATATTAATAGACAAAAAATAAAGAATTAATTGATTAAAAAAATAATAATAATAATAATGTTTTTTTTTGAAAAATCAGTATCAAATGTAAAAACTAAACAATTACTAAAATATCTAACAATCAAAATAATAATACTTTGAGAATTTGTACAATTATTTATCAATCAGATTACTGTAATGCCCCTCTCCTTGGTGTACCCACTTGACTGTTAAACAGAGTCCAATATGTCCAGAATTTGGATCTGCATGAGTTCTCTGCCTCAAGCGTACATGGGAGCGCATCACCCCAACCCTTGAGCAACTGCAGTGGCAACCAATTAAATACCGCATCTGCTTTAAAAATACTTCTTCTTGTTTGTCAAATTTGTCCATGGCCTAGTGTAATCAGCTCCGAGTTGTACTGCATGGTCCTGACTTGAACCAATGACCTCGGGTATGGAAGGCAGAAGTACTGCAAGGAGGCTAAAACCCATGGGCACTAGCGTCAGTCGCCAGTGCATCTCTTGGGGAGTGACGTTTACTCACTGTACAACCTTGCTGGCTTCTGTTACATTAGCACCTCCCTACTTATCCAAACTACTCCGTCCCTACACACCTTCTCACTCACTACATTCCTCAGATGCCTATCCACTCTGCCCTCCCCCCTCCAGGCTCCACACTATGGTTCAGTGTGCCTTCAGTGTGGCTGGCCCTAACCTCTGGAATGCTCTGCCCCATGCTCTGTTGGTATTTACATAAGCCTTTCCTGGTGTTTTGTAATATGTATACTATGAATGTGTTTCTATATTCAATGTATTTCATGGCTTGTTTTTCCTTTCCTTTTCCTCTTTTATCTTTTCCCATATTACCTGGTTTTTGTAAAGTGTCCTTGTTTGATTTGAAAGGTGCTGACAAATAAAATGCATTATTATTATTACTATTATTTAACCTCTGTGGGGTCGTTATTAAGGTGATGGATAGAGCTTGGTTCGTTAGTTCTCCTGGCTGTTGTAATGACAGCCGTTGGAGGTCATTGGAGTCACCTGAGGCTATCGTCGGCATTGTCACATGAGGCCAAATGTGATTGTTCAATCTCCTGGAAAGGAAAGAAAGAAAAGCATATTAAGTGGGAGATAAGTGGTGTTGCAGACCTCCTACCCAATTGAGAGATGGTTTCTCTATTCTGGTGTAAATGGCCTCTTTCAAACCATCTGTCCTCCCTTCCAGAATATGTACACTGTTCGTCCTCAAAAGAGTGTCCCTTATCCTTCAAATTTTAGTAAACTGCTGAGTCTTGACTTGAGGAGTTGGCCCTTCTGTGCTGACCCATGTGTAGTTGTTGCTTACTTTCCCCCAATATACAGGTCTGTGCATTCCTCAGTGTATTGGATAATGTACGTAGATTGCTTTTATTGAATTTGGATATGTGAACTTTCAAATGGACCAATAGCTGTCTGAGTATTTTCTTGGGTTTAAAAAAAACAGGGATGTGGTCATTGTTGAAAATCCTCCTTAGCCTCTGTGATACTCCAAACAAGTATGGAATCATGCTGTTGCTCCTTTTACTGTTCTTTTACTCATCACCGCTAGTGTTGGTGTTCTCCTGGATTTTGTAGCTGTCACAAAGGTCCAATGTGGATATCCACAAGCTTTTTCACCCTTCGGGTGTCTATGTTAGAAGTGCAGGTCTTTGTCTGTAATATATAAGACTGTGTATCATTTAACATTTTATGATACCAGTACCAAAACCAGTACCCTTAAAGTAATAAATGTCACCTGTTAGTAGTAGGCATAGTAGTTGATTGGTATTATTATTTTATTGTTTCAATGAACAAGCAATGTGATCTATTTTCTTTTCTTTTTTATTGTTTGAAATAACTGTATCAGATCACTACTTATCCTAATTATGTCATCCATGTTAAGTATATCAGAGACAGTTTGGGAGTTTTTTTGTAGCTATTTGAATAAGAGAGGAGGAGAGAAATAGGCTAGTTTATTGACCTCGTGAGTTATTTGACCCCTAGCTTATGCTCCAGTGGGTGGTGGGAATCGATGAGTAGATATTGGTCTGTGTGTGTGGGTTTTCTGTACCATGATTTCATCTGGATCCAGTTTTAGTCCTCGAACTTTGTTTACAAAGTCAATGGAGTTTTGGATGTGGTGAGGCGATCTCCCTTTCCCACCAAGGGAGCTAAGATGGTAGAAATGTGTTTGGCAATGTTGTAGGTGACCGAGTTAATGCTGCTGATAATCGGCCTGAGTGGGGCTCCTTCTTTGTGTATCTTGGGTAGTCCATAAATGCATGGAATGGCTTCTCCAGGATACAAACGGTAATATTGTTCACGGGTGATGGTGTTGTCCTTC